GCAGGCCTGGGGGGGGCTGTGGGTCGGGAGGGAGGGGCCCCGGCAGGCCTGGGGGTGGGGTGCGGGATGGGAGGGAGGGGCGCCAGGCTCATGGGGTCTTTCCCACACTCTCAGGCTTGCGGGGTCGATTTTGAGATCCGAGCTTTCTGTGCCAAATCCCTGGAAGAAAAGATTCACAAAAGGTACCGGAGACCCCAGGGTGAGCCCCCCGCGCGCAGCCGAGGCTGCAGACAGGCAGCGAGCGAGACCCCCTCCCCTCCCAGAGCCGGGGAGAGAACCCAGGAGTCCGGGCTCCCAGCCCCCCTGCTCTAACCCCCCAGCCCTCACTGCCCTCCCAGAGCGAGAACCCAGGAGTCCTGGCTCCCAGTCCCCCCTGCTCTAACCCACCAGCCCCCACTCCCCTCCCAGAGCTGGGGAGAGAACCCAGGCGTCCTGGCTCCCAGCCCCCCTTGCTCTAACCCACCAGCCATCACTCCCCTCCCGGAGCTGGGGAGAGAACCCAGGCGTCCTGGCTCCCAGCCCCCCTTGCTCTAACCCACCAGCCCCCACTGCCCTCCCGGAGCCGGGGAGAGAACCCAGGAGTCCAGGCTCCCAGCCCCCCCTGCTCTAACCCACCAGCCCCCACTCCCCTCCCGGAGCCGGGGAGAGAACCCAGGCGTCCTGGCGGGCTCTGACTCCCCTCTCCCCCAGGAACTCGGTGCGGCTGGTGATCCGGAAGGTGCAGTACGCCCCCGAGAAGCCAGGCCCCCAGCCCACGGCCGAGACCACCCGGCACTTCCTCATGTCGGACCGGTCCCTGCACCTGGAGGCCTCGCTGGACAAGGAGGTGGGGGGCTGGAGGGGGCGCGGGGAGCTGGATCCGGGGGACAGGATGTGGGGGGGATCTGGGGAGCTGTGGGGGGCATGGGGAGCTGGATCCGGGGGACGGGACGTGGGGGGGATCTGGGGGTCCGCGGGGGGCACGGGGAGCTGGATCTGGGGGACGGGACGTGGGGAGGATCGGGGGGAAGGGATCTGGGGGGCACGGGGAGCTGGATCCGGGGGACGGGACGTGGGAGGGATCTGGGGGGCACGGGGAGCTGGATCTGGGGGATGGGACGTGGACGGGGGGAGGCCGTGGGGCCCTCACGCGGGGGGGGAAGGTACTGGGGGGGGCCTCGCACTGACCCCCCCCGGTGTGACCCCCCAGCTCTATTACCACGGGGAGCCCATCAGCGTGAACGTGCACGTAACGAACAACTCCAGCAAGAGCGTGAAGAAGATCAAAGTTTCGGGTGCGTCCTGGGGGGCAGGGGGGTGGATTGTACGGGGGGGGGGTCTGATGGGGGCAGACACGTGCTGGGGGGAGTAGGGGAGGTTGTACACTTGGGGGGTCATGTACCGGGGGGGAGATATGCACCCCCTGCACTGGGGAGGTTAGGGCCCTGGGCCGGGGGGGGGCAGCATGTCGGGGGGGGACTGCCTGTGCCCCCCCTCTGATCCCCCCCCTCCCCCCCCGCAGTGCGACAATACGCAGACATCTGCCTCTTTAGCACGGCCCAGTACAAGTGTCCGGTGGCCCAGACCGAGCAAGAGTGAGTGACCCCCCCCCCGGCACAGAGACCCGGGGTGGGCGCAGGGCTGGGGCTGCACTGGGGGGGTCCCGGAGGAACAACCTGGCCCTTTGGGGGGGTCCCTGGCCGGGGGCACAGGGAGGGGCCCGGGGGTGGCATGGGGGGGTCCCTGGCCGGGGGCACCGGGGAGGGGCCCGGGGGTGGCGTGGGGGGGAGGGGCCCTGGCCGGGGGCGCGGGGAAGGGCCCGGGGGTGGCGTGGGGGGAGGGGCCCTGGCCGGGGGGCGCGGGGAAGGGCCCGGGGGTGGCGTGGGGGGAGGGGCCCTGGCCGGGGGGCACGGGGAAGGGCCCCGGGGTGGCGTGGGGGGAGGGGCCCGGGGAGGGGCCCGGGGGTGGCGTGGGGGGAGGGGCCCTGATTAGTTGGGGTCCCGCCCGCTCACCCCCCACCCGCTCTGTGCCCAGTGACCAGGTGTCGCCCAGCTCCACGTTCTGCCGGGTTTACACCCTGACGCCGCTGCTGAGCCAGAACCGGGAGAAGCGGGGCCTGGCGCTGGACGGGAAACTCAAACACGAGGACACCAACCTGGCCTCCAGCACCATGTGAGGGGGGCTCCGGGGGGCGCGTCTACACCCATTCCCTGGGCCCATCGCCAGATCCCCGGGTCCCCGGCCGCCCCACCCCAGAGGTGGCCGCGTCTCGGCGCCGGGTGAGGGGACCCCGGGTCCCCGGCCGCCCCGCCCCAGAGGTGGCCGCATCTCGGCGCCGGGCGAGGGGACCCCAGGGCGCCGGCCGCCCCGCCCCAGAGGTGGGCGCATTCCGACCCCACGCTCTGTTTCAGAGTCAAGGAGGGGGCGAACAAGGAGGTGCTGGGGATTCTGGTCTCGTACCGTGTGAAGGTGAAGCTGGTTGTCTTGCGGGGGGGGTAAGTACCTGCTCACATGTCCCGTCTTGCCCCCCTACCCCCGGTTTCCCCTTAACCCTGCCCCCCTCTCACTGTCCCCTTCGCTCTCCCCGCAGCGACGTGTCCGTGGAGCTGCCCTTCGTCCTAATGCACCCCGAGCCCCGCGAGGCGTTCGCACTGGCACGGCCCCAGTCAGGTAAGGGTTAAACACAGCCCCTGGGTCACCCAGCGCCCCGCCCCAGAGGTGGGCGCATTTCGGCACCGGGCGAGGGGTCCCCGGGTCACCAGCCGCCCCGCCCCAGAGGTGGGCGCATTTCGACACCGGGCGAGGGGCACCAGGTTGCCTGGCGGGGAGGATTAATGATTTTTTCTCCCCTCCCTGCAGTTGTCCCAGAGATGGACGTGCCCGTCGACACCAACCTCATCGAATTTGAAACCCAGTAAGAGCCCCCCCATATCCCCCCCACTTCCCAGGGAGCCCCCCCGGCCGCGCCCCGATGTTGGGGAGGGGCCTGTGGGGAGGGACTAGAGTAGCTTTATCCGTGTCTGCCCCAATAAATGGGGGATAAGAGGGGTGTATCCCCAGAGCAGCAGGGGGGTGGGGTCCTAAATTGGGGCAGGGACCAGTCCCCACCCCCAGTGTCCCCTTGGGGTCCCACACGTGGGGGGCTGCCTCATGCAGGCTGGTTGGGGGGGGTGGGGCCAGGGAGCAGCCCCCCTCCTTAACCCCACATCCGTCCCACCCCTCAGCTATGGCCAGGACGACGACATCGTCTTCGAGGATTTCGCCCGCCTGCGGCTCAAGGGGGAAGTCAAGGACGACCAGGACGATGACCATTTCTGAGGGTGGGGAGGGAGCTGGGCAGCTGACCCCCCCCCTCCCCGTAGCAGAGCTGGGGCCTGGCCCCTGATTGGGGGGTGTGGATTTTAACTGTGTCTGTTTAGGCTTTTTATGCTGCGTTGCCCCCCCGGTGAGGGGGGTCCCCACTAAGCCCCCTATCTCACTGCTGTACGGGGGGGGCCCCCAGAACCCAGGTCTGGCTTTTAAATGTCATTAACTTGGGGGTCCCTTTTTCTTCCCCCCCCCAAGATTTTAACCATTGCTCCCCTCCTGAGCTCTGGAAGGGGTAACCCCCACCCCCACTCCTGGGGGGGCAGCTCCCCCCACAACCCCCCCAGTGAAAAGCACTGGACTCCTCTCTGGGCATTATTGCTGCTTAGACGCCCACGGCCCCTGTTCATCTATCCGTGGACTTTTACACCTGTTTTCATTCTGGGGGGGCCCTGCCCCCCATATCTGCTCTGGGGGCCCCTGCCTGGTGTGGGTGGAGTCAGGACCTGCCGCCCCCCCTGGGTGGGGGCCTGCGGATGCTCGTGCTGGGGGTCGGGGATTTTGGGGTTTTGTGACAGTCGCGCTGTAGCCATATGTAGGGCGGGGGGCGGGAGGTGGGGGGGGCGGCTCTCGCAGAGCACTGGGACAAGTAAAGAAAATATCAACTGGTGTCTGGGGTGGTTTGTGTCGCAGACCTTGGCGCCAGCCGCTCTGCCCCAGAGGTAGGCGCGTCTCGGTGCCAGGCGAGGGGTCCCCGGCTGTCCCGCCCCAGAGGTGGGCGCATCTCGGTGCCGGGCGGGGGGGTCCCTGGGTCCCCGGCCGCTCTGCCCCAGAGGTAGGCGCGTCTCGGTGCCAGGCGAGGGGTCCCCGGCTGTCCCGCCCCAGAGGTGGGCGCATCTCGGTGCCGGGCGGGGGGTCCCCGGGTCACTCTCCGCCCTGCCCCAGAGGTGGGCGCATCTTGGTGCTGGGCGAGGGGTCCCCAGCCGCCCCACCCCAGAGGTGGGCGCGTCTCAGTGTCAGGCGAGGGGTCCCCGGCCGCCCCGCCCCAGAGGTGGGCGCATCTCGGTGTCGGGCGAGGGGTCCCCGGCCGCCCCGCCCCAGAGGTGGGCGCATCTCGGCTACAGAGGATGGCTCCAGGCAGGGGATAGAGCAGTGCCGGGGGGGAGAGTCTCTATGTCCTGGAGGACTAAATCCCCCGCCTAGAGTGTACCCCTCCCTGAAAGGCCCTAGAGCCCCAACCTGCGCCGGCTCCCTCTCTATGGTCATTCCCTGGGCACTAGCCATAGAGTCCTAACGCTCCAGCTAGAGCGGCCATGGCGCCGGGCTGCCAGCCAATGGGTGGAGGCCAGGCTGGCTCTGGGACTAGCCATAGAGACTGTGCCTAGAGCCTAGCTCCTGCCGCCCCCCACCTAGATCTCTATGGTAAGGGTCCATGGGTGGTGACGCTCTAGCTGGGACTCTATGGTCACGTTCCTGGAGGACTTCCTGGCGGGTTAGCAGTGTAGCCTCATCACCATGGAGATGCGGCTCGGGGAGCCACTCTAGCCCCCATCTCGATGGCCAGAGGCCTGGAGGACTGCACTGGGCCCCTGACCACAGAGATCTGGGCTAGAGCGTAGCCTCCCCCGGCTGTAGAGGGGGCCGCCCCACAGCCCTGGAGAGCAGCTCTGCAGGGCTAGAGCGCCCGGCCTGGGGGGTACACACCAGGCAGCCTCTCCCGGGGAAAGGGAGCGTTTATGCAAATGAGCACAATGCATATTCAAATGTGGACATCCGCCCGACAAGGGCTGGGCTAATGAGCCTTGTGGGACGGGGGGGGGTCTATGCCAGACCCCTCCCCTCACAACGTTCCCAGGAGCGGGGGGTCCCCGGTGCAGCTGCTTAGGGGGCGTCTCTGTCCAGCTCCGCAGCGGGTCCGGGCGCCGGGTCTGGAACAACAAAGGGGCGGGGGGACAATTCGGGTGAAAACCCCGCTGGGAGAAAGGGGGCCAGCAGGGGGTGCTGACAGTGCGGGGGGGGGACCAGGGGGCTCACTGGTCTCCCCCTCTTCTTACCTGGTCCTTCACCCTCCATTTCTCCTCCTCTCCCAGGGGATGAGCTGCCCCTGGGGCCCAGCCCCACCACTGCCTGGGGGGGACAGAAAAGAAACAGTGAGACCCCTGGGACCCCACAATCCTCCTGACACTGGGGAGAGAACCCAGGAGTCCTGGCTCCCAGCCCCCACTGCCCTCCCAGAGCTGGGGAGAGAACCCAGGAGTCCTGGCTCCCAGCCCCCACTGCCCTCCCAGAGCTGGGGAGAGAACCCAGGAGTCCGGGCTCCCAGCTCCCCTGCTCTGACCCACCAGCCCCCACTCCCCTCTCACCAGCTCCTCGCAGGACGTGTTACAGCTGCTTTCGCTCGTCACCAGCTCAGCGGCCAGCCAGGGGGGTCTGGTGGGGGAAAGGGTGTTAATTTAGGGGTGCACACCCTGCCCCTCCCTCCCAGCCTGGGCCTGCCCGGGGGAGGGTTGCTCGCCAGGCCCCCAAATGCAGCTGTCTCTGGGGTGGGGTGTCCGGGCAGCCACCAGCCCAGCTGGGCGGGGCGGGGGCGGAGGGAATCTGAGCGCGGGGTATCTGGGGGGCGGGGGTGATGTCCATGGGGAAAGGGGGGGCCATGCCAAGGCAGGAGGGTGGAGGCACGAAATGGGGGGGTCGTTACCCAGCCGCTGCTCCCAGCCGTAGCCTCTCCAGCTTCTGGCGCAGCCGGGACACCTGGTTCTGGTACCTGCGGGCGGGGCACAGAGAGACCGGTAGGGGGGCGCCCAGCCTGGGGGGACACAGGGGGGCTCGCCCCCATCTCCTTGCGCAGGCTGTCGGTGCTCAGGGCAGGAGGCCCTAGGGGGGCCGTGGGGCTCACCTCTCCTCCCGGGCATTGGTCTCGTTCACCCTCTGGGCCTCCAGCTGCTTCTCCTGCACCCACCGGGCCTCCAGCTGGTCCCGGGCCCGCAGCGCCGCCCCCAGGGCCGCCCGCAGCCCCTCGGCCTCCTGGCCCCGCTCCCACAGCCGGGCCTGCAGCTCCTGGCAGCGCCCCGAGAGCCCCGCCAGCTCCCGGGCACAGCGCCCCGCCCTGGGCAGACACACGCCGGCGTTAGAGCCCCCGAGGACGGGCTGGGATGTGGGGGGGCCCCAGAGGGCCGTGGAGGGGGGACAGTGTGGGGGGGTCAGGAAGCTGGGGGGGGGATTGGGGGCTCACCTGGCCCGGTGCTCCTGGCATTCGGCCTCGCTGCGGTTCAGGGCATCGCTCAGGTGGGCCACGCTCTGGGCCAGCTACGGGGGGGCGGGGAGACGGGGGGGGGTTAGTCCCACGGATGCTGCTTCCCCCCCCACAGCGCCCCCCCCGGCTCACCTCCTCCTGAGCCCCCCGCAGCTCCGCCAGCTCGACCGCGTGCTGCAGCCGCAGAGACGCCAGCTCCAGGGGGGCCCTGGGGGGCATAAAGGGGGAGTGGGTCAGAGCCCCCCCAGCCCTGCCGGTGCCCCCCACTCCCGACTCGCAGCCCCCTGCCAGTCCCCAGCCCTGCCGGTGCCCCCCACTCCCGACCCGCAGCCCCCAGCCCTGCCCCCCCAGCTCTGCCGGTGCCCCCCACTCCCGACTCGCAGCCCCTGCCAGCCCCCAGCCCTGCCGGTGCCCCCCCACTCCCGACCCGCAGCCCTGCCCCCCCAGCTCTGCCGGTGCCCCTCACTCCCGACCCGCAGCTCTGCCCCCCAGCTCTGCCGGTGCCCCTCCTCCCGACCCGCAGCCCCTGCCAGCCCCCAGCCCTGCCGGTGCCCCTCACTCCCGACCCGCAGCCCCCTGCCAGCCCCCAGCCCTGCCCCCCCAGCCCTGCCGGTGCCCCCCACTCCCGACCCGCAGCCCCCTGCCAGCCCCCAGCCCTGCCCCCCAGCCCTGCCGGTGCCCCCCACTCCCGACTCGCAGCCCCTGCCAGCCCCCAGCCCTGCCCCCCAGCTCTGCTGGTGCCCCTCACTCCCGACCCGCAGCCCCCAGCCCTGCCCCCCAGCTCTGCCGGTGCCCCTGACTCCCAACCCGCAGCCCCCAGCCCTGCCGGTGCCCCCCACTCCCGACCCGCAGCCCCTGCCAGCCCCCAGCCCTGCCCCCCAGCCCTGCCGGTGCCCCCCCACTCCCGACCCGCAGCCCCCAGCCCTGCCGGTGCCCCCCACTCCCGACCCGCAGCCCCCAGCCCTGCCCCCAGCCCTGCCAGTGCCCCTGACTCCCAACCCGCAGCCCCCAGCCCTGCCCCCCCAGCTCTGCCGGTGCCCCCCACTCCCGACTCGCAGCCCCTGCCAGCCCCCAGCCCTGCCGGTGCCCCCCCACTCCCGACCCGCAGCCCTGCCCCCCCAGCTCTGCCGGTGCCCCTCACTCCCGACCCGCAGCCCCTGCCAGCCCCCAGCCCTGCCCCCCAGCCCTGCCGGTGCCCCCCACTCCCGACTCGCAGCCCCTGCCAGCCCCCAGCCCTGCCCCCCAGCTCTGCTGGTGCCCCTCACTCCCGACCCGCAGCCCCCAGCCCTGCCCCCCAGCTCTGCCGGTGCCCCTGACTCCCAACCCGCAGCCCCCAGCCCTGCCCCCCCAGCCCTGCCGGTGCCCCCCACTCCCGACCCGCAGCCCCTGCCAGCCCCCAGCCCTGCCCCCAGCCCTGCCAGTGCCCCTGACTCCCAACCCGCAGCCCCCAGCCCTGCCCCCCAGCCCTGCCGGTGCCCCCCACTCCCGACTCGCAGCCCCTGCCAGCCCCAGCCCTGCCCCCCCAGCCCTGCCGGTGCCCCCCACTCCCGACCCGCAGCCCCCAGCCCTGCCCCCCCAGCCCTGCCGGTGCCCCCCACTCCCGACCCGCAGCCCCCAGCCCTGCCCCCCCAGCCCTGCCGGTGCCCCCCACTCCCGACCCGCAGCCCCCAGCCCTGCCCCCCCAGCCCTGCCGGTGCCCCCCCACTCCCGACCCGCAGCCCCCAGCCCTGCCCCCCCAGCCCTGCCGGTGCCCCCCACTCCCGACTCGCAGCCCCTGCCAGCCCCCAGCCCTGCCCCCCAGCTCTGCTGGTGCCCCTCACTCCCGACCCGCAGCCCCCAGCCCTGCCCCCCCAGCTCTGCCGGTGCCCCTGACTCCCAACCCGCAGCCCCCAGCCCTGCCCCCAGCCCTGCCGGTGCCCCCCACTCCCGACCCGCAGCCCCCTGCCAGCCCCCAGCCCTGCCCCCCAGCCCTGCCAGTGCCCCTGACTCCCAACCCGCAGCCCCCAGCCCTGCCCCCCCAGCCCTGCCGGTGCCCCCCCACTCCCGACTCGCAGCCCCTGCCAGCCCCCAGCCCTGCCCCCCCAGCCCTGCCGGTGCCCCCCACTCCCGACCCGCAGCCCCCAGCCCTGCCCCCCAGCTCTGCCGGTGCCCCCCACTCCCGACCCGCAGCCCCCAGCCCTGCCCCCGCAGTCGACCCCCAGCCCCCGGAGCAGGGGGTGGTGGCCCCGGCTCCACCTGGGTGCCTGGGGCCCCGGCTCCAGCCGGAGGGTCTCTGCCAACAGCCGCTCCAGGTCCCGGCGCTCCGAGAGTCTCTCATCTGTAGGGGAAGGAGGGGGAGGGGCTGGGAGCCCGGACGCCTGGGTTCCCTCCCCGGCTCTGGAAGGGGCTGGGGGCGGGGTCAGGCCTCTGGATTTCCCACCTGAGGCTCCGCCCCCCGCTGTTCGACTGGCCCCGCCCCCTCCGAGGCCCCGCCCCTGCTCTGCCGCAGGCCCCGCCCCACGCTCACGGCTCGGCCGCAGGCCCCGCCCCCAGCCGAGGCCCCGCTCACGGCTCGGCCCCAGGCCCCGCCCCCCCGCTCACGGCTCTGCACCAGGCCCCGCCCTCCGCTGAGGCCCCGCCCCCCGCTCACGGCTCTGCACCAGGCCCCGCCCTCCGCTGAGGCCCCGCCCCCGCTCACGGCTCGGCCCCAGGCCCCGCCCTCCGCTGAGGCCCCGCCCCCCGCTCACGGTTCGGCCCCAGGCCCCGCCCCCCGCTGAGGCCCCGCCCCCGCTCACGGCTCGGCCCCAGGCCCCGCCCCCCGCTCACGGCTCTGCACGAGGCCCCGCCCCCCGCTGAGGCCCCGCCCCCGCTCACGGCTCTGCACCAGGCCCCGCCCCCCGCTCAGGCCCCGCCCCCCCGCTCACGGCTCTGCACCAGGCCCCGCCCCCCGCTGAGGCCCCGCCCCCTCTCACGGCTCTGCACCAGGCCCCGCCCCCCGCTGAGGCCCCGCCCCCCTCTCACGGCTCTGCACCAGGCCCCGCCCCCCGCTGAGGCCCCGCCCCCCTCTCACGGCTCTGCACCAGGCCCCGCAGCCGCCGCGTCTCGCGCTCCCGCCGCTCCAGCTCCCGGCGCACGTGGCGCCTCCAGGCCGGGCCGGGCCCCGCCCCCTCCATCGCTTCCGGGTCACGTGCGCCGGCGCCGGCAGATGTAGCGCCGGGGAGGAGGGGCGGAGCCCGGCCGGCGCATGCGCCGCGAGCAGCAGGGCGGGGCGGGGCCGGCGGCGCGCGCGGGGCCATGGCCACCTACAGCGTGGCCAACGAGCGGCTGCGGGTGCTGGAGGAGCTGGAGCGCGAGATCGGCGCCTCGCTGCAGAGCGCGGGTAGGGGCGGGGCCAACGGCCGAGCGCGCGTCGGGGCGGGGCCTGGCTGCAGAGCGCGGGTCGGGGCGGGGCCAACGGCCGAGCGCGCGTCGGGGCGGGGCCTGGCTGCAGAGCGCGGGTAGGGGCGGGGCCAACGGCCGAGCGTGGCTGGGGGCGGGGCCTGGCTGCAGAGCGAGGGGGCGGGGCCAACGGCCGAGCGTGGCTGGGGGCGGGTCTAATGGCTGGGGGCGGGGCCACGGTCTCCCCCCATTTGCTGTTTTGGGCGCCTCGGGTGGGAGGGGCCAGGCTGCAGGGCAGGGGCGGGGCTAACGTTTGGGGGCGGGGTCAGGCTGCAGGGGTGGGGAGCTGCAGTGGGGTGCGGCGAGTGAGGTGGGGGGCAGAGCCCCCTCCTGTACCCCAGCCCCAAGCCCTGAACCCCCCAAACCCAGAGTCTCCTCCTGCACCCCAACCCCCAGCCCCGAGCCCCCCAAACCCAGAGCCCCCTCCTGCACCCCAACCCCGAGCCCCCCCAATCCCAGAGCCCCCTCCTGCACCCCAACCCCCAGCCCCGAGCCCCCCCAATCCCAGAGCCCCCTCCTGCACCCCAACCCCCAGCCCCGAGCCCCCCCCCCCTCCTGTACCCCAGCCCCAGCCCCCCCCCCCCCCCCCCCACCCCAGCCCTGAGCCCCCCAAATCCCAGAGCCCCCTCCTGCACCCCGCCCCAACCCCAACCCCCTGCACCCCCGCCCGAGCCCCCCAAAACCCAGAGCCCCCTCCTGCACCCCAGCCCCGAGCCCCCCCAATCCCAGAGCCCCCTCCTGCACCCCAACCCCCAGCCCCGAGCCCCCCCAACCCAGAGCCCCCTCCTGCACCCCCAACCCCCCCCCAGCCCCCCCACCCACCCCGAGCCCCCCCAAACCCAGAGCCCCCTCCTGCACCCCAACCCCCCCCAGCCCCGAGCCCCCTCCGCACCCCCACCCCAGAGCCCCCCAACCCAGAGCCCCCTCCTGCACCCCAACCCCAGAGCCCCCCCCCCCCCCCCCCCCCCCCCCCACCCCCACCCCCCAAACCCAGAACCCCTCCTGCACCCCAACCCCCCCCGAGCCCCCCAAACACAGAGCCTGCAGCCCTGAGCCCCCAAACCCAGAGCCCCCTCCTGCATCCTAACCCCCAGCCCTGAGCCCCCGCAAACCCAGAGCCCCCTCCTGCACCCCAACACCCAGCCCCGAGCCCCCCCAACCCCCTCCTGCACCCCAACACCCAGCCCTGAGCCCCCCCAACCCCAGAGTCCTCTCATGCACCCCAAACCCCTCATCCCCAGCCCCACCCCAGAGCCTGCACCCCCCAACCCCCTGCCCCAGCCCAGTGGAAGTGCGTGAGGGAAGGGGAGAGCCGGCGAGGGAGGGGGACTGTGGTGAGCCGGGGGCGGGGCCTGGGGAAGGGGCGTGGTGGGAGAAGGGGCGGGGCTAGGGTATTGGGTTTGTGGGAGTAGAAAGTTGTGGCTGGAGGTCATGGATAGGGGAAGGGGTGCCAGGGGCTTTCGGGGGGAAGGGTGCTGGGGGGGGGGGGGGGGGATCCCAGGGGGGGCTTTCGGGAGGAAGGGTGCTGGGGGATCCCCGGGGAGGAGGGTTGCTGGGGGCCTGGGAGTTGCCAGGGGCGTTCGGGGGAGGGTTGTGGGGGATCCCCTGGGCAGTTGCCAGGGGCGTTTGGAGGGGGGGGTGGGGGATCCCCGGGGGGATGACAGGGGCTTTCGGGGGGGGGCTGGGGGTCCCAGGGGGATGCCAGGGCGTTCGGGGGGGGGAGGGTTGGTGGGGGATCCCCTGGGCAGTTGCCAGGGGGTTTGGAGGAGGGTGCTGGGGGATCCCGGGGGGATGCCAGGGGCTTTCGGGGGGAGGGTGCTGGGGGATCCCCAGGGGGATGCCAGGGACTTTCGGGGGGGAGGGTGCTGGGGGATCCCCGGGGGGATGCCAGGGGCTTTCGGGGGGGAGGGTGCTGGGGGATCCCCAGGGGGGATGCCAGGGGCGTTCGGGGGGGAGGGTGCTGGGGGATCCCCTGGGCGGTTGCCAGGGGCTTTCGGGGGGGAGGGTGCTGGGGGATCCCCAGGGGGGATGCCAGGGACTTTCGGGGGGGAGGGTTGCTGGGGGATCCCCAGGGGGGATGCCAGGGGCGTTCGGGGACAGGGGTGCCGGCGAGTCAGGCCCGGAACAGGGGGGCGCTTTGGGACGAGGCTCGCCCCAGGGAAGGGGGGGGTTTATCGGGGCGCCCCTCACCCCCCCCCGCCGCCCCCCAGGGAACGTGATCCTGGAGCTGTCGAAGGAGAAGCCGACCGAGCGGCTGCTCGAGCGCCAGGCCGCCCAGTTCACCGCCTCCGTGCAGAAGGTGGAGTCGGAGCTGTCGGGCCAGATCCGCTACCTCACCCAGGTCAGGGGGGCGGGGCCGGCGCAGGGGGGCGGGGCCGGCTGGGGCGCTCAGGCTCACCCCCCATCTCTGCTGTCTCCCCCCCCACAGGTGGCCACGGGGCAGCCCCACGAGGGCTCCAGCTACTCGGCCCGCAAGGGCTGCCAGATGGCGCTGAACCGGGTCGACTACGCCCGGGTCAAGCTGGGAGAGCTGGCCCGCACCTGCGAGCACATGCTGGAGCAATAGGGGGCGCCCCCCGGCCCGCCGGGAGCTCGCCGGAGCCCCCCCCCCCCCGCGGGAACACGCCAGGAGCACGGGACGGCGGCCGGGGGGAGCGCGGAGCCGCTTGCCACACGCGTGACCGGCCGGGCACGTGAGAAGGCGGGACACGCTCCGGGGGGACCCAGGAGCGACACGCCGGCCGGGCCCCGCCCCACCCCGGGCGCACCGGGAACACGGTCTGACCCACCGGCTCTCGGCGCCGGGGGGGCCACCGGCGGGGGGGGGACTGTTTTTCCTACTGCCCTTGTTAAATAAAAGGGGAAAAAACCCAGATTGCCCCACACTGAGGACCTCTGTTCGGGGGGCGGGGTGTGGATGGGGCAGGAGCTGGCCTTGGGGGAGCCCCATGACTGGACGTGCCGGAGGAGGGAGCCCCCCGTGTGGGTCTCCCCCTGGTGTAAATCCCACCCCCCTCCACACGCGCCCTGTTTCCACACCGATCCAGCCCCCCCTCCAGCCTCCGCACAGAGGAAGTGAAAGTGTCTGGGGGGGGGGTGTCCTCTCTCCAGAGCTGCCCCCACATCAGTCTCTGGGGGGGGCCCCCCTTGCATGCTGGGGGTTCAGGCCAGTTCCAGGTGTCCCCCCACTCCCCAGCCTGGGTGCAGAAACCTCAGAGACACCCCCCTACCCCGGCAGAAATGCAGGGATCTGGGGGCTGCGGGGGGCCCCAAAACTGTGCCCCCCCATTAATAACCAGACGCAGCCTTGTACAAACTTCTGTATTAAAGCACTGGCACATTGTACAAGGGGGGGCTGGGAGCAGGCCCCCCCGGGGAATAAATTAGTGAGGCTCTGGGGGGGGCAGGACTGGCAGGTGTCTCCCCAGAGTACCTCCTCTGTGGTTAGAGATTAGCTTAGTGCGGGGGGGGGACAGCTCTGCGGGGCCCCCCGGAGCCAGGGTCCTTCATGCAGTGGGGGGGGCCGGGGCATTAGACCCCCCAAAGTCACCCCCTCCTTGCCCTTCCCTGCATACCATCACCCCCCACCTCCCCACCCCAAGAAAGCACAGTGGGGATCGGGGTGCTGGGGTCCAGGTTTGGGGGGGCGTCGTCCGTCATCCCAGCTCGCAGGAGTGGTACAGTGTCTCGGTGCCTGGGGGGGGGATAAAACGGGAGGGGGGTTAGAGCAAACCGAGGACCCCCAAGCCAGCACGGCCAGGGCCCGCTCCGGGGAGCTCCCCACGGCTAGGAGGAGAGCGGGCATTGGGGGGGGCGTAAATTAGGAGGGGAAACCACCCCCACGCCTTGGGTCCGGGGGATTAGTGGGGGGGCACAGGGGTGGGGGGACGAGGCTGGGCAGAGATGGGGCATGGTGGGGGGGTGTCTGAGAAAATGAGCTGGAGGGACTCAGGGATGGGGGTGGATTAGCTGGGGGGGGGAATGCCAGGGGCACAGATCGGGGGTGGACTGGCTGTGTGGGGGACACGTGGGGGGCACAGATCGGGGGTGGATCGGCCGTGGAGGGTGCGGGGGGCAGAGAGCCAGGGGTAAATAGCCAGTCCCCCAGGGAAGCAGGGCCCCCCCAACCCCGTTGCGCCGCTTACCTGGGTCTCGGGGCGGGGGGCCGGGTAGCTGGGGGGGCCGCCGGCTCCGCCGGCAGAGCACGTAGGTCAGGCCCCCCAGCAGCCCCAGGGTGGTGCCCAGCAGCACCAGCACGGCCGAGAGGTAGGGACGGGGCTGAGCGGGGGGGGGCCCATCAGCCGCTCCCTCCCCCTGCTGGGGCGCCAGGCTGGGCCCCCCAACGGGGTCTGCACGACAGAGGGGGAGGGGGTTAGAAACCAGGGGGGGCAGGGATCCCCGCCCCACGGAGAGTCCCCCTCATGGGGAATCCCAGCTGTGAGCTCACCGGTGGTCAGGGCTTCATCTGTGGGTCTGTGCGGCTCCGGGGGTCCGTCTGTGAGTCCCTGGGGCTCTGGGGGGCCGTGCGGCTCTGGGGGTCCGTGCCGCTGCGGGGGTCCGTCTGTAAGTCCCTGCCGCTCCGGGGGTCCGTCTGTGAGTCCGTGGGGCTCCAGGGGTCGCGCCGCACTGGGCATGGGGGACCGGGTGTTGGGGGGCAGGGAAGCGTTGGTGGGGTTCGGGGCCGGCCCCCCGCCCCCTTGGCGGGCATCAATCCTTCCGGCTTCTGCAGGACACGGTGAGTTTGTGACCTGGCTGGGCCAGACGGGAGGGCCCTCGCCCCCCTGCCCCCCAACAGAGTCCACTCCACCCCCCAGCAGCCCCCCACTGCCATCTCTGCCCTGCCCGCCTCACCCAGCGCAGGGCCTCCCCCTCTTCCCCTGTGCCCCCCCCACAGGGATCCCCACTTCCTTGGCCCGTCAGACCCGCCCCACAACCACTTGGGGGGAAGCTGTAGGATCTGGGTCCCCCCCAAACCCCAGAGCAGGGAGTACTGGATGGGGACCCTCAAGGGGTGCACCCAGATCCCAGCTCCATCAGGGGACCCCCTTTTTACAGGAGGGAGGGAGAGCAGCCCCCCCATAACCCGGGGGGCAGCGGCTGGGGGGAGGGGTTGGGGGTCGGACCCACCTTTGTTCTCCCAGAGCTGGCGGAGCTGGATCACCCAGTCGGCGCTGTCCAGCCCACAGATCTGTACACGGGGCAGCTCGAACCTGGGGGGCAGGGGGCAGAAATGAGGGGGGGGTCTGGCCTGGCCCCGCCCCATGGCAGGGCGGGTGAGGCTAGCTGTTAGAAGGGCTGGTGGGGAGGGATGGGGGGTTGGCTGGTATCTGGGGGCTGGTGGGGGGAAAGGTTGGCGGGGTGGACCTGGGGGGGGGGCAGGAGGAGGGTTTGGTGGGAGCAGGTTGCGGGGGGCTGGTGGGGGGGTGGGGTTGGCAGGAGGATCAGGGGGGCCTGGCAGGGGGAGGGGTTGGCTGGGGTGATTAGGGGGGCTGGCAGGGGTGGATTTTGTGGGGAGGGATGGGGGGGAGATTGGAGGGGTTGGCTGGGGCATTGGGGGGCTGGCAGGGGGTGGGGTGGTGGGAGGAGATTGGGGGGCCTGGCAGAGGGAGGGGTTGGCTGGGGGATTGGGGGGCTGGCAGGGGGAATCAGGGGGCTGGCAGGGGGAGTACGGGAGAGGGTTTGCTGGGGGGGGGCTGGGACTGGAATTTGCAGCACCAGGAAACGGGGTGTCTGGAATTTTTGGAGAACTTTTGTCATGGGCTGGGGGGCAGCAGGGCTATTCAGGGCTGGCGGGGGGTTCTGGGCTGGCGGGGGCAGCAGGGGTATTATGGCCCGGGGGGGCGCTCTGGCCCGGCGGGGGGGGCAGCAGGGGCATTATGGCCCGGGGGGGCGCTCTGGCCCGGCGGGGGGGGCAGCAGGGGCATTATGGCCCGGGGGGGCGCTCTGGCCGGGGGGGGGCAGGGGCATGGGGGGGCAGCAGGGGCATTATGGCCCGGGGGGGCGCTCTGGCCCGGCGGGGGGGGCAGCAGGGGCATTATGGCGGGGGCCGGGGGCGGGGGGGCAGCAGGGGCATTATGGCCCGGGGGGGCGCTCTGGCCCGGCGGGGGGGGCAGCAGGGGCATTATGGCCGGGGGGGGGTACGTACCGGACGAGGTGCCCGCCGCAGGCCTCGTAGCCCTTCACCCTGTCGGCGAGGTCCCGGAGCCGGCCGGGGGGCGTCCTCAGCCTCTGGCATTTGCAGACCCCGAGCGCGCCCCCCTCGTTCCCCCAGGCTGCGAGGGGGGGACACACCTGGGGTTAGGGGTCTGCCACCGGGGCCCGCTGGGCATAGGGCGGGTGGAGTCTGACCCGCGGTCCGCCCAGCCCAGCCCCCAAGGGAGAGATCTGGGGGTCCCAGGCCCCCCAGGGGCGGGAGACGTGCGGGGGTCCCAGCCGAAATGAGGCTCGGCCCCGGGGGCCGCAGGGGTGGGGGGGTCACACGCCTCGATGCCAAGGGGGGGGCGCTGTATGGGGGGGTCAGTAGGGCGGGGGCGGGTCTCAGCCTGTTGCCCTCCCCCGCGGAGCCGCGCGAGGAGATGGGGCCAGGCGCGGGGCGCAGCTGGGGAGGGGGGGCGCGGGGCGCAGCTGGGGGCCGGGGGGGGGGCGCGGCGCAGTTGGGGGAGGCGGGGCGCAGCTGGAGACGGGGGCGGGGGGGGGGGGGGGGGGGAGTGGGGGCGGGGGGGGGGGGAGTTGGGGGGAGGGGGGGAGGGAGCGGGGGGCAGTTGGGGGGAGGCGGGGCGAGTGGAGAGGGGGGGGGGGAGGGGGAGGGGGGGGGGGGCAGTGGGGGCCGGGGGGCGCGGCGCAGTTGGGGGGGAGGCGGGGCGCAGCTGGAGACGGGGGGCCGGGGGCGCAGTTGGGGGTCGGGGGGGGCAGCTGGAGACGGGGGGGCGGGGGCGCAGCTGGGGAGGGGGGGCGGGGGGCAGCTGGGGGCCGGGGGGGCGCGGCGCAGTTGGGGGGGAGGCGGGGCGCAGCTGGAGACGGGGGGGGGGCGCAGTTGGGGGCGGGGGGAGGGCGGGGGGGGGGGGGGAGCTGGGGAGGGGGGGGGGGGAGGGGGGGGGGGGGGGGAGGGAGACGGGGGCGGGGAGTGGGGGCGGGGGGGGGGAGGGGGGGGGGGAGGGGGAGGGGGGGCGGGGGAGGGGGGGGGGGGGCGGGCAGTTGGGGGGAGGCGGGGGAGGGAGACGGGGGGGGGGGGTGGGGGTGGGGGGGAGTGGAGAGGGGGGGGGGGGAGGGGGGGGGGGGGGGGGGGGGGGGGGGGGGGGGAGGGAGACGGGGGGCCGGGGGCGCAGTTGGGGGTCGCGGGGGGCAGCTGGAGACGGGGGGGCGGGGGCGCAGCTGGGGGGCTCTTACCCGGCGGGGGGCCCAGCAGCAGCAGCAGCAGCAGGAGGGTCGCTCCCGGGCCGGGGGTCGCCGCCATGGGGCCGGGCACGGACCGAAACCGCCCGGGACAGGGACCTGGCCGGGGTTTTCCGGGCTGGGCGGGTCCTGGCCGGGGAGGAGGCGGTGCGACTCGCTCCCTGCCTGGGGGATCCCCCTCCCCCGGTCCCTGCAGCCCCCACCCCGGACTCCAGCGCCCCTGGGGCCTGCCCCCCAACTTCCTGCCCCCTGGCACTCCCACAACTGCCCCCTTATTACCCTGCAGATCTGCCCCCAGACCTCATGGATGACCCCAGCCCCCCCTCCCAGTACCCCTCCCCCCACTCCCTTCCCACCCCACCCAACCCCCTTGGCAGGACGCTGAGCATCCCCCCTCCCCGCGTGGTGTTGTGAGCTTCCCAATCAGGGTGGCGCTTGGGGGTGGGGCTACAGTCACCCCCAAATTGGCCTCAGCCCCCCTGCCCCCTGTATGAGGGTTACAGAGGAGCAAGGCTGGCCTGGCCCCTGCCCCCCCCTTACTTCTGCAGCCCCCTGGAACCCCCCCCACACACACACCAAAAAAAGCCCCGTCTGGATTTGCAGACTGTGGGAATCTGGCTGGGTTTGGGGACTGGAGGCAGGATACAGGAAGGCCTTCGGTCCAGGCAGTTGTTGCTTTAAATAGTCCCGGGGGGGCGGGGGGGGGGCTGGAGGGGGAGGGGGGGTTGCTGTGTTGTTTTGTTTCCGTTGCACGTTCTCACTTTTTTTTCCTGGGGCTTTTCTGTGACTAACTGGGGCTGCAGATGGAGCCGGCTGCGGAGGTGGTTATTGGCCGGAGAGAAAACCCGCCATGGCAGCTGGGCCCCCAAGCCAGCCCCCCCAATCTTCTGTCTAGCTCCCCTCTTTCCCCTCCACCGGGAAGGGGCTGTTTTCCCCATAGCAGGGCCCCATGGCCTGCCCGGTTCCCTGCCTGCTGCGTGTGGGGGGAAAGATACACCCTGCTGGGGGCAAGGGGGGCTGGGATTGGGGGCAGATTAGTAGAAACATCCTGGGTCGGGGTGGGGAGCAGGGACCCAAGGGGAGTTCGCAGGCCGGGGGGAGCAGGGTGGGTTGGTTTAAAGCGATTTAACTCAGCAATTTCGAATCATAGAGTCATAGAACTGGAAGGGGCCTCGAGAGGTCTCTCGTCCCGTCCCCTGCACTCGTGGCCGGACTGAGGATTATCTAGCCCATCCCTGACGGGTTTGTCCAACCTGCTCTTACAAATCCCCCATGATGGAGATCCCACAACCGCCCTGGGCGATTTATTCCAGGGCTTCACCACCCCGACAGGTAGGAAGTTCTTCTAATGTCCAACCTAAACCGTCCTCGCTGCAATTTAAGCCCACTGCTTCTTGTCCTAGCCTCAGAGGTTAAGAAGAACAATTCTTCTCCCTCCTTGTAACAACCTTTTATGCGCTTGAAAACTGTTCTCATGGCCCCTCTCAGGCTTCTCTTCTCCAGACTAAACAAACCCAAGTTTTTCAATCTTCCCTCATCGCTCATGTTTTCTAGACCTTTCATCATTTGTGTTGCTCTTCTCTGGACTTTCTGCAATTTGTCCACATGTTTCCTGAAATGTGGCGCCCAGAACTGGACACACTCCTCCAGTTGAGGCCTAATCAGCCGGGAGCAGAGCAGAAGAATTACTTCTTGGGTCTTGCTTACAGCGCTCCTGCTAATACAGCTCAGAACGATGTTGGCTTGTTTTGCAACAGCGTCACCCTGTTGACTCATATTTAGCTTGTGGTCCACTGTGAGCCCCAGATCCCTTTCCCCAGTACTCCTTCCTAGGCCGTCCTTTCCCATTGCGTGTGTGTGTAACTGATTGTTCCTTCCTAGGGGGAGTACTTTGCATTTGTCCTGATTGAATTTCATCCTGTTTACTTCAGACCATTTCTCCGGTTTGTCCAGATCATTTTGAATTTTAATCCTATCCTCCAAAGCACTCGCAGCCCCTCCCAGCTTGGTGTCGTCCGCAAACTTTATCAGTGTCCTCTCTATGCCATTATTGAACAGAACCGATCCATGTGGGACCCCTCTCACGCCCTTCCAGCCTGACTGTGAACCACGGAGAACTCCTCTCTGCACTCGCAGTTCCCGTTTGTTTATGAGAGGGTCATGGGAGCCAGTATCAAAAACCTTACTAAAGTCACGTCTACCACTTCCCCTCTATCCACAAGGCTTGTTACCCTGTCGAAAGCTTGGTGTCAGCTTGGTGTCACGGGGTCCCTGGGCGATGCTCTAAGCCAGGCAGGACTCTGGGGCAGTCTCCTCTCCGGGAAGGACACACAGCTCACCCGGCTTCCCCCTTCCTGGGTCTGACCTCGGAGCCTTCAGCCTCCTCTGCCCCTCCAGGCAGTTCCCACAGCAAGTCCGCCCAGGCGGGGTCCTGGGGAAGCCAGAGGGTCCTGCCCCCCAACTCCGCAGTCAGACGTGACTCTCAGCCAGCCAGTAACACAGAAGGTTTATTAGACGACAGGAACATGGTCTGACACAAAGCTTGTAGGTGCAGAGACCGGGACCCCTCAGCCGGGTCCATTCTGGGGGGTGGGGAGCCCAGACCCCAGTGCTGGACCTCCCCAGCCAGCTCTAAACTGACGGCCTGGAGAATGGAGACCCCAGCAACTGGCGACGAGAATGGAGACCCCAGCGACTGGTGACGTGGTGGCCGGGAGGCCCAGTTCAGGAGTCCCAGCCGGGTCTGGCCAGTGGGAGGACCCAGTGACCTGACCAGCCGGTCCCAGCCAGGGGGGCCAGAGGACAGATGAGGGGAGAGGGGGCCAAGGCGACCCTGTTTCCTGGAGAGGAGACAATGGACGGGGGGGGGGGGGGCTTGAGGCTGGTGATAGCAGATGCCCAGCTGGGAAGCAGGGGGGCTCGGGGCTGGAGAGAGGGAGCCCCCAGAGCCCCCCTGGATGCGGGACAGACCTAGATATGCTGTGCTGAGGGAGGCCAGGCCTGGGGGCCCAGAGAGTTTCCTGGGCTGGGTTCAGACGCTCACTAACCCCTCCTGTTTTACGCTGGCTGGGAGTCGCTCCAGTCTAGAGAACAGGGGCATTATTCCCTCTGGGAATGGAGGCCCCGGGGGTCCCGAGCGAGGGGACTCTCTGAGGGGGCCCATGGCAGAGACAGGCAGGCTAAGGCTCTGAGAGGTGCGGCTCCAGGAGGTGGAGGGGCTGGACCGCCAAGAGAGTGGACCCCCGAGAAGGGCTGTCGCGCTGAAGGGGGTTCCCCCCACGGACCGCACGGGGCCAAGAGTGGGCACGACCTGGGAGTCCCTGACAGGGGCCCAGGCCCTCAGGGGACAGGGTGTCGGCCACTGTCTTAGAGGATCTGCCGGCTCCGATGCAGCCCTTCCCCTCCGGAGATCTCAACACACTTTACAAAGCAGGTGGGTATCATTAGCCCCACTTCACAGACGGGGAAACTGAGGCCCGTGAAGGTCTCTCGCGTGCTCTGCCCACTAGGCCACGCTGCCCGTTGATTATTTATTACAGGGGTCCCCAGATTTTTACCTTGCGTCCCCCCCTTGCCCCTGTCCCTGCCCCCCAGAGCCAGGTCCGGGGAGGGAGGGACGTGGACAGGGGTAAGGGGGCCCAGGCCTGCGTTGTGCTGGGGGGGCAGGGGGAGCGAGTTTGTCCAAACCCGGGTTGTGTTTAAACGGGAGCGAGGAAAGGAAGTGTTGTGGTTTCCGGTCACGCTGGGCCCAACGCTCCAAGCTCTGGAAAGTTGCCAAGGGCTCCCTGGTGGGGTTTGCGGCCTCCGGTCTTCTTGGCCCCTAACTCTCACTGGCTGGGGGGCGGGGACGCTTATGAGCCGTCGGGAACCCAGGGAAACTGAGGCACACACCGCCTTCAGGCAAACCAGCGCGACTCGCATACCACGTAACACGGGGGAAACCCCCACTTGGTCACCGGGCGTCCTGCCCCCCGCCCCCGCCCCAAGTGGGGGAATGGGGAGGTTTTGGAAATGTTCCCGGGAACTGTCCCCGGAGCAATGAAATGGCCTTGGGGACGCGGGGGAGACCTGCGGCCGGGCAGCGACCGTGAACGCCCGGAAGCCGGGGGAAGAGGGACCTGGGGGCCGAGGGCCTGGGGCGGGGGGGCCAGAGACTGGGAGTCCTTCCTGCAACTCTGAACATTACAGTAGAGACAGATTTTTAAAAAATTCTTAAACCCCCCCCGTCCCGGACCCTGAGACGCGCCCCCCCTCCCCCTCCCCGTGCTCTCTCGGCCGGGGGGGGGGATCTCCTTGCAATGCGCCGGCCCCTCTCGGGGGTCTGCTGTCTCTCCCTGGGCCCCCTTGCTGCGGGGCCGGAGGAAGAGCGGGGCGAAGGGGCACCTGGGGCCGGGGAGGGGGAGCGTGTGTGTGCGCGCGCGGCCCTTTAAATGTCACTGTGATGTCATCGCCAGCGCTACTGTGATGTCACGGCGGGCAGCTCCTCCCCCTGCACCCACCCACCGCCTCTCCCGCGGCTGGGGGCAGCCAATGGCAGCCTGGCTACTGCTGGACCTCCTCCTCCTTGGGGCCACGGGCGTCTGGGTGACAGGTGGGTGCCGGGGGCGGGGTTGAAGGGGGGGAAGGTGCCCCTCCCCCAATCGTGCCCTCCCCCCTGCCCCAGAAGGGGGCTGGGTCCAGGACAGGGCAACCCCTCCCCTCCCAGGCTTTGGCTGCCTGTGATGTCACGGCGGACTCTGATGTCACAGATGCGGCGCTGTGATGTCATCGAGGGAACGGGGACGGGGGCGGGGCGGGGGGGGGAGACCTGCCACAGGCATTAAATGGGCTGGCTACAGGAGCAGCAGATGTGAAGGGCTGGGGGCCAGGACTCCTGGGTTCTCTCCCCGGCTCTGGGAGGGGAGTGGGGGCTGGTGGGTTAGAGCAGGGGGGCTGGGAGCCAGGACTCCTGGGTTCTCTCCCAGCTCTGGGAAGGGATGGGGGGCTGGCAGGCAGAGGGGGGCGAATGTCTCTAACCGGGGCTCTGTCTCCCCAGGCTGTGGCTTCCGGCCGGGATACGACAGCCTCAGCACCTCCCCCGTGCCCCGCATCATCGGGGGGCAGAAAAGCCGCCCCGGGGAATGGCCCTGGATTGTGAGTATCCAGACCCAAGGGCACCACTTCTGTGGGGGGAGCGTCATACACTCCTGGTGGGTGCTGAGCGCGGCCCACTGCTTCCACGACATCCGGTAAGGGGGCTGCGGTTCGGGAGTGAGGGGTGCCGGCAGGGCTCGGGGGGCAGGGCTGGGGTAACTGGGGCTGCGGGTCGGGAGTGAGGGACACCGGCAGGGCTGGGGGGGGCAGGGCTGGGGTAACAGGGGCTGCGGGTCGGGAGTGAGGGGTGCTGGTGGGCCTGGGGGGGGCAGGGCTGGGGTAACTGGGGCTGCAGGTCGGGAGTGAGGGGTGCTGGTGGGCCTGGGGGGGCAGGGCTGGGGTAACTGGGGCTGCAGGTCGGGAGTGAGGGGCACCGGCAGGGCTGGGGAAACAGGGGCTGGGGGTCGGGAGTGAGGGGCGCCGGAGGGGCTGGGGAAACAGGGGCTGCGGGTCGGGAGTGAGGGGTGCTGGTGGGCCGGGGGGGGCAGGGCTGGGGTAACAGGGGCTGGGGGTCGGGAGTGAGGGGCGCTGGGGGGGGCAGGGCTGGGGTAACAGGGGCTGCGGGTCGGGAGTGAGGGGTGCTGGTGGGCCTGGGGGGGGCAGGGCTGGGGTAACAGGGGCTGGGGGTCGGGAGTGAGGGGTGCTGGGGGGGGCAGGGCTGGGGTAACAGGGGCTGCGGGTCGGGAGTGAGGGGCGCCATCCCTCTGCCCCTGCCCAGGCCCCAGGACGTGAGGGTGGCGGCCGGCAGCGTGACCCTGGGCGTGGGCGGCGTCACCCGGCGGGTTCGGCGGATCCTGTCCCACCCCAGCTACAGCCGCACCACGTACGACTCGGACCTGGCCCTGCTCCTGCTGAGCCGGCCCCTGCCCCCCGGCCGGGGCCTCGGCCTCGTCTGCCTGCCCGGGGAGCTGGACGAGGAGGAGGACGCCGGGCAGTGGGGCAGCTGCTTCGTGGCCGGGTGGGGCACCACGGAGTACGGTGAGTGGGGGCCTGGGCCCTCGGGGGGTCTGGCTGGGGCTGGGGGGGCTGCAGGGTGTCACGGGGTCCCCGGGTGATGCTCTGGAGCTGCTCCCCGCGAAGCCAGGCAGGACTCTGGGGGAGTCGCCTCTCTGGGAGCAGCCTGTCTGCAGGACACACAGCTCCCCCGGCTCCACCTTCCTGGGTCTGACCTCGGAGCCTTCAGCTCCTCTGCCCCTCCGTGCGCTTCCCACAGCCAGTCCGCTCAGGCGGGGTCCTGGGGAAGCCAGAGGGTCCTGCCCCCCAACTCCGCAGTCAGACGGGACTCTCAGCCAGCCAGTAACACAGAAGGTTTATTAGACGACAGGGACATGGTCTAACACAGAGCTTGTAGGTGCAGAGACCGGGACCCCTCAGCCGGGTCCATTTTGGGGGGCAGTGAGCCAGACAACCCCGTCTGCACTTCACTCCATGTCCCAGCCAGCCCCAAACTGAAAACCCCCCCAGCCCCCCCTCCTCTGGGCTTTGTTCCTTTCCCGGGCCAGGTGGTCACCCGATTCCTTTGTTCTCCAACCCTTCAGCTCTCACCTTGCAGGGGGGAAGGGCCCAGGCCATCAGTTGCCAGGAAACAGGGTGTCGGCCATTCTCTGTGTCCAGACCCCTGCACACACCTGCCCTCTAGGGCTCTGCAATGATCATACACCCTTACTCCACCCCCTAGATACTTAAGAACTGCCTAGGGGAAACTGAGGCCGCCCCACACGATTCAGAGGAAACATGAAGAACAGTCCCGCTGCGTCACAGGAGGGCGTGTGGCTGGGGAGGGTTTCCATGGGGGGCTTGGTCTGGGGGGGTGGCTGGCTGAGGGGGTCCGGCAGGGGGGTGTCCCCGGGGGGCTCCGGCCCAGGCTGCGGTGCCGTCTCTCGCAGGGCAGGAGCGGGTGTCGGGGGTGCTGCGGGAGGCCGGCGTGCGGATCCTCGACTGGCTACGCTGCATGTGGTGGATGGGGGCCCTGACCCAAAACATGGTCTGTGCCGGGCTCGAGGAGGGCGGCCGGGACGCCTGCCAGGTGAGGGCCCCCCGCCCAGAACCCCCTTTCCCCTCAGCCCCCCCCCGCCCATCCCCTTCCCCCGCCCAGGGCCCCCTCCCCCAACTCCCCCCCAACGGGGTGAGGCTCAGCCATTGCCCCACCCACCCCCAGGGAGCAGGACCCCCCCCAGGCCGCTGCACAGACCCCCCTGAAGGCCCCCAACTGCACCCCCGACGTCCCCCGACACCCTCATGTCCCTGGCCGGGGACGCCCCCCCCCCGGGGCTTCGTCCTTCACGCGGCCCCGTCTGCCCCGTTCCCGCGAAGGCGGCTTCGTTCCCATCCTGCCCCCGCCTGGCACCTCCCTGCTGGGGTCGCTGCCCCCTGCCCGTCCTGCCCCCCTCGCTTCCTCCTGCCCATCCTGACCCCTTGCTTCCTCCTGCCCCCCTCACTTCCTCCTGCCCTCCTTCCTCCTGCCCGTCCTGCCCCCCTCGCTTCCTCCTCCCCCTTCCTCCTGCCCGTCCTCCCCTCGCTTCCTCCTGCCCCCCTTGCTTCCTCCCTCCCCCCTCGCTTCCTCCCTCCTTCTCTTCCCTCTCCCTGTCCTTCCCCCTTCGCTGCCTCCTTCCTCCCTCGCTTCTTCTTTCCTTCCTTCCTTCCTCCTCCGCATCCTTCCTTCCTCCTTCCCCCTTCCTGCCTCCTTCCTCCCTCGCTTCCTCCCTCACTTCCTCTTTCCTTCCTTCCTTCCTCCTCCGCATCCTTCCTTCCTCCTTCCCCCTTCGCTGCCTCCTTCCTCCCTCGCTTCCTCCCTCGCTTCCTCTTTCCTTCCTTCCTTCCTCCTCCGCATCCTTCCTTCCTCCTTCCCCCTTCGCTGCCTCCTTCCTCCCTCGCTTCCTCCCTCGCTTCCTCTTTCCTCTCCTTCCTTCCTCCTCCGCATCCTTCCTTCCTCCTTCCCCCTTCGCTGCCTCCTTCCTCCCTCGCTTCCTCCCTCGCTTCCTCTTTCCTCCCCTTCCTTCCTCCTCCGCATCCTTCCTTCCTCCTTCCCCCTTCGCTGCCTCCTTCCTCCCTCGCTTCCTCTTTCCTTCCTTCCTTCCTCCTCCGCATCCTTCCTTCCTCCTTCCCCCTTCGCTGCCTCCTTCCTCCCTCGCTTCCTCCCTCGCTTCCTCTTTCCTCCCCGTCCTTCCTCCTCCGCATCCTTCCTTCCTCCTTCCCCCTTCGCTGCCTCCTTCCTCCCTCGCTTCCTCCCTCGCTTCCTCTTTCCTTCCTTCCTTCCTCCTCCGCATCCTTCCTTCCTCCTTCCCCCTTCGCTGCCTCCTTCCTCCCTCGCTTCCTCCCTCACTTCCTCTTTCCTTCCTTCCTTCCTCCTCCGCATCCTTCCTTCCTCCTTCCCCCTTCGCTTCCTCCTTCCTCCCTCGCTTCCTCCCTCGCTTCCTCTTTCCTTCCTTCCTTCCTCCTCCGCATCCTTCCTTCCTCCTTCCCCCTTCGCTGCCTCCTTCCTCCCTCGCTTCCTCCCTCGCTTCTTCTTTCCTTCCTTCCTTCCTCCTCCGCATCCTTCCTTCCTCCTTCCCCCTTCGCTGCCTCCTTCCTCCCTCGCTTCCTCCCTCGCTTCCTCTTTCCTTCCTTCCTTCCTCCTCTGCATCCTTCCTTCCTCCTTCCCCCTTCGCTGCCTCCTTCCTCCCTCGCTTCCTCCCTCGCTTCTTCTTTCCTTCCTTCCTTCCTCCTCCGCATCCTTCCTTCCTCCTTCCCCCTTCGCTGCCTCCTTCCTCCCTCGCTTCCTCCCTCGCTTCTTCTTTCCTTCCTTCCTTCCTCCTCCGCATCCTTCCTTCCTCCTTCCCCCTTCGCTGCCTCCTTCCTCCCTCGCTTCCTCCCTCGCTTCCTCTTTCCTTCCTTCCTTCCTCCTCCGCATCCTTCCTTCCTCCTTCCCCCTTCGCTGCCTCCTTCCTCCCTCGCTTCCTCCCTCACTTCCTCTTTCCTCCCCGTCCTTCCTCCTCCGCATCCTTCCTTCCTCCTTCCCCCTTCGCTGCCTCCTTCCTCCCTCGCTTCCTCCCTCGCTTCCTCCCTTTCCTTCCTTCCTTCCTCCTCCGCATCCTTCCTTCCTCCTTCCCCCTTCGCTGCCTCCTTCCTCCCTCGCTTCCTCCCTCGCTTCTTCTTTCCTTCCTTCCTTCCTCCTCCGCATCCTTCCTTCCTCCTTCCCCCTTCGCTGCCTCCTTCCTCCCTCGCTTCCTCCCTCACTTCCTCTTTCCTTCCTTCCTTCCTCCTCCGCATCCTTCCTTCCTCCTTCCCCCTTCGCTGCCTCCTTCCTCCCTCGCTTCCTCCCTCGCTTCCTCTTTCCTTCCTTCCTTCCTCCTCCGCATCCTTCCTTCCTCCTTCCCCCTTCGCTGCCTCCTTCCTCCCTCGCTTCCTCCCTCGCTTCCCTCTTTCCTTCCTTCCTTCCTCCTCCGCATCCTTCCTTCCTCCTTCCCCCTTCGCTGCCTCCTTCCTCCCTCGCTTCCTCCCTCGCTTCCTCTTTCCTTCCTTCCTTCCTCCTCCGCATCCTTCCTTCCTCCTTCCCCCTTCGCTGCCTCCTTCCTCCATCGCTTCCCTCCCTCGCTTCCTCTTTCCTCCCCGTCCTTCCTCCTCCGCATCCTTCCTTCCTCCTTCCCCCTTCGCTGCCCTCCTTCCTCCCTCGCTTCCTCCCTCGCTTCCTCTTTCCTTCCTTCCTTCCTCCTCCGCATCCTTCCTTCCTCCTTCCCCCTTCGCTGCCTCCTTCCTCCCTCGCTTCCTCCCTCGCTTCCTCTTTCCTTCCTTCCTTCCTCCTCCGCATCCTTCCTTCCTCCTTCCCCCTTCGCTGCCTCCTTCCTCCCTCGCTTCCTCCCTCGCTTCTTCTTTCCTTCCTTCCTTCCTTCCTCCTCCGCATCCTTCCTTCCTCCTTCCCCCTTCGCTGCCTCCTTCCTCCCTCGCTTCCTCCCTCGCTTCCTCTTTCCTTCCTTCCTTCCTCCTCCGCATCCTTCCTTCCTCCTTCCCCCTTCGCTGCCTCCTTCCTCCATCGCTTCCTCCCTCGCTTCCTCTTTCCTTCCTTCCTTCCTCCTCTGCATCCTTCCTTCCTCCTTCCCCCTTCGCTGCCTCCTTCCTCCCTCGCTTCCTCCCTCGCTTCCTCTTTCCTTCCTTCCTTCCTCCTCCGCATCCTTCCTTCCTCCTTCCCCCTTCGCTGCCTCCTTCCTCCCTCGCTTCCTCTTTCCTTCCTTCCTTCCTCCTCCGCATCCTTCCTTCCTCCTTCCCCCTTCGCTGCCTCCTTCCTCCCTCGCTTCCTCCCTCGCTTCTTCTTTCCTTCCTTCCTTCCTCCTCCGCATCCTTCCTTCCTCCTTCCCCCTTCGCTGCCTCCTTCCTCCCTCGCTTCCTCCCTCACTTCCTCTTTCCTTCCTTCCTTCCTCCTCCGCATCCTTCCTTCCTCCTTCCCCCTTCGCTGCCTCCTTCCTCCCTCGCTTCCTCCCTCGCTTCCTCTTTCCTCCCCGTCCTTCCTCCCTCCTCCCTTCGCTTCCTCCCTCGTCGGTTTCTTGGCTCTCGCTGGCGCGGTCTCGTGTTTTCTCCGGCGTCTCGTTCCTTCGCTTTCTCTGTGACCCGCCCTCTCCTTCCAAGCTTCGTTCTTCGCCCCCTTTTCGCCTTCCTCCGCTTCGCCGTTTCCTCCCGTGGGCTTGTTCGTGGCCTCGATTTTCTCGTGGGTTCGTTTTCGCCTCCCTTGACTCCTTTCCTCCTTTTGCTCTCCCCCTCCTCAGTTAATTGTTAATTGACCCGTCTCCTTCCTTCCTCGCCTCGTCTCCTTCCTGCTTTTCCGGCTCCTTGCGGCCCGGCCTCCTTTGCTGCTTTCCTCGCTCGGGAGTCGATCCCTTTCCTCCTTCCTTCGGCCTCTCGGTTTCTTGCTGCTGCGTTTTCCTCCTCGCTTGGCTGACCCGGCCTCTCGTTTCAGGGTGACAGCGGGGGGCCCCTGCAGTGCCAGGCCCCCCGGGGCTCCCCCTGGTACCAGGTGGGCGTCGTGAGCTGGGGCCGGGGCTGCGGGCGGCCCCAGCGCCCGGGCGTCTACACCCGCGTGGCCAACTACCGGGCCTGGATGGATGAGGCCACCGCCGCCGCGGGGAGACCCCTGAGGCCCCAGCAGGCCACGCCCACCCCCCCGAAGGCGGAGCCGGGGGTCACCGGAGGCGGGGGGCCCCGCCCCTGCCCGTGGCGGCCCCTCGGCCTCGCCCTGGGGCTGGCTCTGGGGAGGTGGCTGGGCTGAGTGAGCGAGACGCAAGGCATGCTGGGAAGAGGACAAGGCCGGCGCTGCAAAGGATTCTGGGAGGGGAGGGCGACGTTGGCCGCCCTTCGGGGGCAGGAGGGCGAAGGGGCATTAAATATTATGTGGCGAAATGGAGAGCGAACTGTTCACTGGGAATAGGGACCCAGGCGTCCGGCAGGGCAGGGCAGGGTGCCCACCCCTGGGGAGGGGAGATGGGACCCAGGCATCCGGGAGGGCAGAGCAGGGTGCTCACCCCTGGGCAGGGGAGATGGGACCCAGGCGTCCAGCAGGGCAGGGCAGGGTGCCCACCCCAGGGGGTGGTGGGGGAGGGGAGATGGGACCCAGGCGTCTGGGAGGGCAGAGCAGGGTGCCCACCCCTGGGGAGGGGAGATGGGACCCAGGCATCCGGGAGGGCAGTGCAGCGTGCTCACCCCAAGCGAATGGTGGGGGAGGGGAGATGGGACCCAGGTGTCCGGGAGAGCAGTGGAGGGCACTCACCCTAGGGGGCCCCAGAGGAGTGGGGGGGGAATCTGGGGGTGGCGGGATCCGGGGCAGGGCGGGGGAGGGGGTTCCCCGGGGAGCCGGAACCCCGTGACGTCACAGTGGAATCTCGGGGCGCCCGGGTATTTACCTTCAAATCAGCTGGAGGAAGCAGGTACGGTGGGGGGAGGGGGCTGGGGCGATGGGGGGGGCAGGGCTGGATTGGGGTTATTTTGAGGGGTGGGGGGCAGCATTGGGAGGGTCGGGCAGTTCAGGGGGTCCAGAGGGTCGGGGTCCAGGAATCTGGGAGGACTTTATTCAGCAGGGCTGGGAGGGGGCAGGGGTGCTAGGAAGGGGGTCAAGGATAGTGAAATGGGGGGCACAGGAGGTGGGATGGGGGTCGGGGGGCCTAGGAGGTGTCTCAGCCCCCCAGGAATGAATTCAGGACTGGGTAACAGGGTTCGGGGCAGAGGATGGAGGTTTGGGGGGCTTCCTGCTCTAACCCCCCAGGATGGAGTTCGTGACCAGGTACCCGGCTGGGAGTTTGGGGGTGCAGGGTGGAGGTTTGGGGGTGCAGGGTGGGGTTTTGGGGGGCTCCCTGCTCTAACCCCCCAGCCCCCCAGGATGGAGTTTGTGATGGGGTACCGGGGCGGGGGTTTGGGGGCGCAGGCGTGCAGGTTTGGGGGCATAGGGTGCGGGTTTGGGGGGCTCCCTGCTCTAACCCCCTGGCCCCAGGATGGAGTTCGTGACGGGGTACCGGGCGGGGGTTTGGGACGCAGGGTGGGGGTTTGGGGGGCTCCTTGCTCTAACCCCCCAGCCCCCCAGGATGGAGTTCATGATGGGGTACCAGGGCGGGGGTTTGGGGGTGCAGGGTGCAGGTTTGGGGGTGCAGGGCGTGGGTTTGGGGGGCTCCTTGCTCTAACCCCCGGGCCCCCCAGGATGGAGTTCGTGACGGGGTACCGGGGGGGGGGGGGGGGGGGGGGGGGGGGGAGTTTGGGGCGGCCCCCAGATGGAGTTCGCGGGGGTACTGGGGCGGGGGTTTGGGGGCGCAGGGCGGCGGTTTGGGGGACTCCCTGCTCTAACTCCCCAGCCCCCCAGGATGCAGTTCGTGATGGGGTACTGGGGTGGGGGTTTGGGGGCGCAGGGTGCGGGTTGGGGGGCAGGGCGGGGGTCTGGGGGCTCCCTGCTCTAACCCCCCGGCCCCCCAGGATGGAGTTCGTGACGGGGTACCGGGGCGGGGTTTGGGGGCACAGGGTGCGGGTTTGGGGGTGCAGGGCGGGGGTCTGGGGGCTCCCTGCTCTAACCCCCCGGCCCTCCAGGATGGAGTCCATGACGGGGTACCAGGGCGGGGGTTTGGGGGTGCAGGGTGCGGGTTTGGGGGTGCAGGGCGGGGGTCTGGGGGCTCCCTGCTCTAACCCCCCGGCCCCCCAGGATGGAGTTCGTGACGGGGTACCGGGGGGGTTTGGGGGCGCAGGGTGGGGGTTTGGGGGCGCAGGGTGCGGGTTTGGGGGTGCAGGGCGGGGGTCTGGGGGCTCCCTGCTCTAACCCCCCGGCCCCCCAGGATGGAGTTCGTGACGGGGTACCGGGGCGGGGGTTTGGGGGCGCAGGGTGCGGGTTTGGGGGGCGCAGGGGCGGGGGGTGGGGGGTCTGGGGGCTCCCTGCTCTAACCCCCCAGCCCCCCAGGATGGAGTTCATGACGGGGTACCGGGGCGGGGGTTGGGGGGAGGGGGGGTTTGGGGGGAGGGGGGGTTTGGGGGTGCAGGGCGGGGGTTTGGGGGCACAGGGTGCGGGTTTGGGGGCGCAGGGCGGGGGTCTGGGGGGCTCCCTGCTCTAACCCCCCCAGCCCCCCAGGATGGAGTTCGTGACGGGGTACCGGGGCGGGGGTTTGGGGGCGCAGGGTGTGGGTTTGGGGGTGCAGGGCGGGGGGTCTGGGGGCTCCCTGCTCTAACCCCCCGGCCCCCCAGGATGGAGTTCGTGACGGGGTACCGGGGCGGGGGTTTGGGGGCGCAGGGTGCGGGTTTGGGGGTGCAGGGCGGGGGTCTGGGGGCTCCCTGCTCTAACCCCCCGGCCCCCCAGGATGGAGTTCGTGACGGGGTACCGGGCCGAGGTGCTGGACCTGGCAGAGCTGCTCCTGGGGTGGCACCGGCTCCAGGCCGGGGGGCCCCGGGACGGGCATCACCAGCGCCGGCAGGAGGGGCACGTCCGGCGCCTGCCCCCCGACCCCGCCCTCTGGCTGCTGCACCTGCTGCCCAACCCCCGGCTGGCCCTGGGCTTGGCGCTGCCGGGGGGGGCCCGGGGGGAGCCCCGGGGGCGGCTCTGCGGGGAGGACGCCCTGCAACTGCGGGACCTGCAGCGGACGGTCACCTTCCTGCGCCTGGACGAGGAGGATGAGGGGCTGGAGACAGGTACCCCCCGGCCCACTGCCGGCTCCCCGTCCCTGTGGGGCTCCCCTGCCTGGCCCCCGCCCCCTACCCACCGCCGGGCCCCCGTCCCTGTGGGGCTCCCCTGCCTGGCCCCCGGCCCCCCAACCCACCGCCGGGCCCCCGTCCCTGTGGGGCTCCCCTGCCTGGCCCCCGGCCCCCCAACCCACCGCCGGGCCCCCGTCCCTGTGGGGCTCCCCTGCCTGGCCCCTGGCCCCCCGACCCACCACCGGGCTCCCCGTCCCTGACTCCCCCTCCCCCAACCTACCGCCGGGCCCCTGGGGTTCCCCTGCTGGGCCCCCCATCCCCTGCCTCCCCCTCCCCCAAGCCAGCGCCTGGCCCCCTGGGCTCCCCACCAGTCCCCCTCCCCCTCCTCTGCCTGTCCCGCTACGCCCCACCCTGCCAGACACCCCCTCTTCCCCCCATCTGCCCACCCCCGCGGGACCCTGCCCCACACCCAGGGCTGTGCCCACCCCCCCAGCCGGCCTCACCTCCGCCGCCCCCCCCAGGCCAGGCCCTGGTGCATGTGCAGCACCTCCTGCTGGTGACGGACGAGCACGGGACGGTGATGGGCCTGGATTTCCAGCTGGGGGCCGGGGCCCCCCCCCAGCCGGCCGCGCCCCCCCCGCTGGAGCAGCTGGCCCTGGAGCTGCTGGGCCGGAGCATGGCCTGCCCGCTGGGGGCGGGGGAGCCCCGCCGGCCCCGGCTGCTGGCCGTGGGGGACCCCGCCTTGCACAAGTGAGTGTGAGACAGTGGGCGGGGGAGGGGGGGCTCCGTGCCCGTCCCCCGCCCCGCTGAGCCCCCCCACCCCCCCCCCGGCTCTCCCCGCAGGTTGCTGGAGCCCCTGCTGCCCCGGCTCGGGGTACGGCTGAGCCCGGGGCCCATGCGGGGCTGGGGGCCGCGACCCGCCTTCACCTTCCCCTCCATGCGCGTGCGAGCCTGCCACGTGTGCAAGAGGCACGGGTTCCAGGGGCGGCTGGCGCCCTGGTGAGCAGCGGCCAGGGGGCGGGGCGGGGGGCAGCTGGGTACCGGGGGGGGGGCCCAGGCTGGCTCTGAGCCCCCCCCCGTCACCCTCCCCCCCCAGCCAGCAGTGCCGGGCCGTTCTGTACTGCTCCGAGCGGTGCCGGGCCGCGGACTGGGCCCGCAGCCCCGAGGACGCGGCCCACCGGGCCTGGTGCCCCCGCATGGCCGGGTACGTGGCCCGCGCCCGCCAGCTGGCCGACCTGCCCTTCAGCTTCGCCGCCGGTGAGCCCCGGGGCGGGGGGCGGCGGGGGGCCCCCCTCCGGCGGAGAGCTGGGGCTTATCGGGGGTCCCCCCCCCGTCTGCCTTGCAGAGGTGACCGGCGACGGGTTCAACAAGGAGGGGTTCCTGGCCGCGCGGGGGCTGACCCGGGGGTACTGGGCCCACGAGAGCATGCTGGTCCGGGCCCCCGACTACGGTGTGGGGCTGGGGGGCAGAAAGGACTGGACACCCGGCCCCCTGCAGAGCGGTGAGCGGGGACGGGGGGGGGGGGGGCAGGGGCCTGTCCCCTCTAGGGGGTGCCGGCTCCCATCCCCCCACTAACACCCCCTTTCCCTCCCCCCCCAGGTAACCCCTTCGAAGCGCTGAGGCCGGAGGGGGGAGCGGCCCTGCCCCCCACCTCCCCAGAGCCCCCTGCACCCAGGACCTATTTCAGTGAGATGGGGGCAGGGGTGGGTAATAGCGGGGGGGTTCGCAGCGGGGGGGGGGCCAGTGGCAGCTGGGAGGAGGGGGCGGGGCCAGTGGCGGCTGGGGGCGGGGCCAGTGGCAGCTGGGAGGAGGGGCGGGGCCAGTGGCGGCTGGGGGCGGGGCCAGTGGCAGCTGGGTGGAGGGGGGGGGCCAGTGGCGGCTGGGGGCGGGGCCAGTGGCAGCTGGAAGGATGGGCGGGGCCAGTGGCGGCTGGGGGCGGGGCCAGTGGCAGCTGGGAGGAGGGGCGGGGCCAGTGGCGGCTGGGGGGGGGAGTGGGGTGGGAGGAGGGGGGGGGCCAGTGGCGGCTGGGAGGAGGGGGGGGGCAGTGGGGTGGGAGGAGGGGGCGGGGCCAGTGGCGGCTGGGAGGAGGGGGCGGGGCCAGTGGCGGCTGGGAGGAGAGGCGGGGCCAGTGGTGGCTGGGGGCGGGGCCAGTGGCAGCTGGGAGGAGGGGGCGGGGCCAGTGGCAGCTGGGAGGAGGGGGCGGGGCCAGTGGCAGCTGGGAGGAGGGGGCGGGGCCAGTGGCGGCTGGGAGGAGGGGCGGGGCCAGTGGGGTGGGAGGAGGGGCGGGGCCAGTGGCGGCTGGGAGGAGGGGGCGGGGCCAGTGGCGGGGGGGGGGGAGTGGAGGGGAGGAGGGGGGGGGCCAGTGGGGTGGGAGGAGGGGGGGGCCAGTGGGGCTGGGGGGGGGAGTGGAGTGGGAGGAGGGGGCGGGGATGGGGGGGAGGAGGGGGGGGGAGGAGGGGGCGGGGCCAGTGGCAGCTGGGAGGAGGGGGCGGGGCCAGTGGCGGCTGGGGGCGGGGCCAGTGGCAGCTGGGGGCGGGGCTGGCCCCATCTCCGGGCTGGGGCTGGTCCCGCAGGCGGGGAGGGGCAGTTGCAGCTCGGCGGGGGGCTGCCCCCCGGCGCCCCTGACCCCCGTGTCCCCCCAGGCTCGTGGCGGGAGTACTACGCGTGGCGGGGGCTCCCGCTGGGCTCCCCCCTGGCCGTGCTGCTCAGCTACCCCCTGAGCGTCTATTACATCGTCACCCAGCTGGCCCCCCGGCACTGTGAGTGGGGGGGTCTCGGGGGGGCGGGGGGTCCCTCCGCGGGGGAGGGATGGGGGGGCTGGGAACCTGGCGTCACCATCGGGGCAGGGGTGGGGAGCCCCAGTCCTGGGGCAGATCTGGGAAACGGGGGGGGGTCCTCTGCCCCCCTCTGACCCCCCCATTCCTCTGACCCCCCCAGTCCCGGAGCTGAACATCCTGAACAAACAGTCGCTGAAGATTCACATCGTGGAGACGGGGAAGGAGTCGGACATGGCCCCCCTCTTCTGGGTGCGTGGGGGGCGCCGGGGTGGTGGGGGCTGGGGCACGGGGGCTGGGCACTGAGGGTATGCGGGAGCAGGGGGTGCCGTGGGGCAGGGCTGTGCTCTGGCGGGTATGGGGGGGCAGGGGGCACCGTGGGGCAGGGCTGTGCTCTGGCGGGTATGGGGGGGCAGGGGGCGCCGTGGGGCAGGGCTGTGCTCTGTCGGGTATGGGGGGGGCAGGGGACGCCGTGGGTCAGGGCTCAGCTCTGGCGGGTATGGGGGGGCAGGGGGCGCCGTGGGGCAGGGCTCTGCTCTGGCGGGTATGGGGGGGGCAGGGGGCGCCGTGGGGCAGGGCTCAGCTCTGGCGGGTATGGGGGGGGCAGGGGGCGCCGTGGGGCAGGGCTGTGCTCTGGCGGGTATGGGGGGGCAGGGGGCGCCGTGGGGCAGGGCTCAGCTCTGGTGGGTATGGGGGGGGCAGGGGGCGCCGTGGGGCAGGGCTCTGCTCTGGCGGATATGGGGGGGCAGGGGCGCCGTGGGGCAGGGCTGTGCTCTGGCGGGTATGGGGGGGCAGGGGGCGCCGTGGGGCAGGGCTGTGCTCTGGTGGGTATGGGGGGCGCCGTGGGGCTGTGCGGGGCTTGCTGTGACCCCCTCCTCTCCTTTGGGCCCCCCAGGAGCTCTCCGTACTGCTGCCCCACGTGTGGCTGGAGCTCCTGTTTCTGGGGGGCGTCCTGCCCCCCGAGGCCGACGGGCAGCAGCTCCTGCTGCAGAGAACGGTGAGGGGGGGGTCCGATGGGGGTGGGGGGGGCCCTGAGGCTCACCCCCCCATGGCTGATCATCCCCCCATATCTCTTCCCCCCCCCAGGAGACACAGGGGGTGCGCGTCTGGCCCGGCCCGGCCCCCAAGGCCAAGGGGGGGCGGGGGGGGCTGCAGCTGAAATTCTGCGCCCAGCCCACCCCCCTGCTGCAGGGCCCCAGACCCGACCTGGTCATCGGTGAGTGTCCCCCCACGGGGGTCCTGGCTGGGGGGGAGCCCAGGGGGAGGGGCTCAGGCCAGGGAGGGGGGACCCTGGGGGGCTGTCAGGGGGGAGGGGCTCAGGCCCGGGAGGGGGGACTCTGGGGGGTTGTCGGGGGGGAGGGGCTCAGTCCAGGGAGGGGGGATCCTGGGTGGCTGTCGGGGGGGAGGGGCTTAGGCCAAGGGGGGACCTGGGGGGGCTGTGTGGCAAGGAGGGGAGAGGGAGCTCTCTAGGGGGGGCATATGGGGAACCCCACTGCATGGGGGTGGGGCCCCAGGGGAGGGGAGGGCTGACAGTGAGGGGAGGGGTTCCCCGAGGGAGGAGGGGGTTCCCCCCGGGGCAGCAGCGGGGGGGGTCCCCTCATTTGTGGCCGACCCCTGAGCCCCCTCCCCCCGTTATTTCTCAGGGTTCAATTCCGGCTTTGCACTGAAGGACACCTGGCTCAGTGCCCTGCCCCGCCTGCAGGTGGGTGCCCCCGACCCACGGCCCCCCCAAAGCTCCCCTCGTCCCGCAGCACCCCAAACTCCTCTCTTCCTGCCGCACCCCCAGACTCCGGCCCCGGACGCCTGGATCCCCGGCGACTCCGGCCCCGGACGCCTGGATCCCCGGCGACTCCGGCCCCGGACGCCTGGATCCCCGGCGACTCCGGCCCCGGACGCCTGGATCCCCGGCGACTCCGGCCCCGGACGCCTGGATCCCCGGCGACTCCGGCCCCGGACGCCTGGGTCCCCGGCGACTCCGGCCCCGGACGCCTGGGTCCCCGGCGACTCCGGCCCCGGACGCCTGGGTCCCCGGCGACTCCGGCCCCGGACGCCTGGGTCCCTGGTGGCTCCGGCCCTGGACGCCTGGGTTCCCGGCGGCTCCGGACCCACACGCCTGGATTCCAGGCGGCTCCGGCTCCGCACGCCTGGGTTCCCGGCGGCTCCAGCTCCAGCCCCGGACGCCTGGGTCCCTGGTGGCTCCAGACCCGGACGCCTGGGTTCCCGGCGGCTCCGGCTCCGGCCCCGGATGCCTGGGTTCCCGGTGGCTCCGGCCCCGGATGCCTGGGTTCCCGGTGGCTCCGGCCCCGGATGCCTGGGTTCCCGGTGGCTCCGGCCCCAGATGCCTGGGTCCCTGGCGGCTCCGGACCCGGATGCCTGGGTCCCCGGCGGCTCCGGCTCCAGCCCCGGACGCCTGGGTCCCTGGTGGCTCCGGCCCCGCACGCCTGGATTCCCGGCGGCTCCGGCCCCGCACGCCTGGGTCCCCGGCGGCTCCGACTCTGGCTCCGGACGCCTGGGTCCCCATGTCTCTGTCTCCCACGCAGGCGCTCCGGGTCCCGGCCTACTTCACGGAGTGCAGCGAGTACAGCTGCGCGGTGGACGAGGCCACGGTCTCCATGGCGACGGGGGGCAGCACCGGCCCGCCCCACGTCAACCCCTTCCGCTCGCCCTTCCGCCAGGCCGGCGTCGACAACGCCATGCCCTGGTGGGTGCCAGGGGGCCGGTGGGCATCAGCGGGGGAGGGGGCGGACGCTAACATGACCTCTGACCCCTGTGGTTGCCGTAGGGCGACCTCTGACCCCGGCCCTTGGTGTGACCCCACGGTCATTCGCCCCGTGACCTGACCTCTGGCCCCTGTGGCGCTATGACCCCTTGTACGTCACGAGTGACCTCTGACCCCACACCCTTTTAGTGTGACCTCTGACCCCCATTACACGCTGGAGCGACCTCTGACCCCTTGTTCTCGTTAGCATGACCTCTGACCCCCCTCAAACGCTGGAATGACCTCTGACCCCTTGTTCTCATTAGCGTGACCTCTGACCCCCAACACCAGTGACCCTTCCCTTGGCCTTGCCAGAATGTCCTTTGACCCAGGTCATCCACCATCCATGTGACCTCCGACCCCCGTCACATTGTCGTGACCTCTGACCCCGGTGTCACTGCACCCCTTGCAATGGCCTTTGACCTCCTGCCCCTCTCCATGACCTTTAACCCCTGCCATGGCGCCAAACAATGACATGACCTCTGACCTATTGACCCTCACCTCTGTATTTTGGCTCCCCCTGACCCCTGGACCCCCCCACCAATGACCTCTGACCCCCATTGCCCACCATTGCCGTGACCTCTGACCCCTGTATCCTTCCCCCCCCAGGTACTCCAACGCCTTCATCTTCCACCTGCTGTACAAGGGGGGGGCCGGGGGGCCGCGGCAGCCCCCGGGGCCGGCCCCGCCCCCCGCCCCCAGCCCCGCCCACCTGGAGCCCGGCCCGGCCCGCGCCCGCCGCAAGGAGAAGCGGCAGAACCGTGGCGGCCGCCGCCGCAAATGAGGGGGGTGGCGGGAGGGGGGGGGCTAATAAACCCGCCCCGGCTAATGGAGCCTGCGCCTCGTTACTGTCCGACCCGGGGTCCCCCTCCCCCCGCCCTGGGGATGAGCCGGTCCTGGCCCCCCTCCCCTGGCATTGACGTCACCCCCCACCCGCCCCGGCCCCAGCCGGGCCAGGCACCGGCTCCCCCCTCCCTCCCCCCCCCCCGGCTCCAAGGCCGAGCCGCGACTCTTCCCCTGGCACCGGGGCGGTCGGTGACGTCGCATCCAACCCAGCCCTTTGCCCGGCTTATCACAGAGCAAACAGCCCTGGGCCCGGGAGACGCGGCTGGGACTCCTCCGGCTCCGGGCAGCGGCCCCCCCAAAATCCTCCGGCTCCGGGCAGCGGCCCCCCGAATCCTCCGGCTCCGGGCAGCGGCCCCCCCAAAATCCTCCGGCTCCGGGCAGCAGCCCCCCCCAAAATCCTCCGGCTCCGGGCAGCGGCCCCCCCTGAATCCTCCGGCTCCGGGCAGCGGCCCCCCGAATCCTCCGGCTCTGGGCAGAGACGTCCCGCCCCTCCCCGAGCCATGTGCACGGGGTGCTGCTCGCGGCTGGTGGGGCTGGCGCTGGTGCCCATGGCCCTGGGCTGCATCGTGGCCAACATCCTGCTGATCTTCCCCAACGGGGAGACGGGCTGGACCGAGCACCTCAGCCTGCAGGTCTGGCTGATGGGCGGCCTGGCCGGCGGGGGGCTCATGGTGAGTGGGGCGGCGGGCGGGTGGGGGGGACTTTCTGTCCGTCTCTCCAGGCCATCGGGTCCCCCTTTCGCCTGGCCCCCCCACGCCGCGTCCCCCTGTCCGCCTGTCCCCCCGCGCCGCGTCCCCCCGTCTGTCCCGCTTCCCCGCATGCCATGTTCCAACCTGTTTGTCTACCTGGCCCTCCATCCCTGCCCCCCTTCCCTCCCTCCCCGCCCCAGGTCTCTCTGCCCCCCTTCCCCGGGTGCTGCTGGCGATCGCCGGGGGGGGGTTGCTCTGGGGTACACGTCGCTCAGCGGCCCTGTGTACTAGGACGCGGCCACGGCCGGTAACCGGTGTGTGCAAGCCGTGGGGGGAGATGGCGTCGCCGGGTATCCTCCCGGGGAGACCCGGGGCTGAGAGGCGGAGAAGCTCCGAGGACTGAACCTTGACTCCTTCGCCCGCCCCTCCTTGGGCAAGCGTCTGCCCCCAGCTGGCGGGAGCAGACATGGGGGGTTGGGGGGGTCAAGGAGCTGCTCCCAGGAGACTGGGTAAAGGCCGGGGCGTGGCACGGAGCCTGTGAATCGGTGATGGGGGCACGGCGTTGGACGAGGACCCAAAGGCATCCCCACCCCTAGATGCCTTGCGCGGAAACGCTCCTTGGGCTGGTTTCCGCTGCAGGCCTGTATCCCACCGCTGGCACCAACTGCGCCCTGACCGGCCCTTTTCTGGGCACGCCCACCCCAGGGTCGATGGCTCCACCCAACCACCTCCGTTCTGTTGGTCGCCGGCCAGCCACGTATCTGTCGGGCAAGTTCTTGTCACCGATGACGACGCCCCAGAGGACGGGGTGGCCCGGGTCCACAGACTCGGCACTATGGCCTGGCTTTTAAACTGCCCCTTGGGGGAACCCTGCAGCGTGCCAGGCTGGGTCCCACCGAGCCAGACCCCTGGGTGAGACTCTGATCCAGATCGCAGCAGGACGCAGGCTCCTGGGATAGCCCCCCAGGACCCAGGCCCGGAGTGCTCGCCACCCCAGATTTGTGTGTGGACGGAAGTGCGGGGGAGGGCGGGCTAGGTCTCAAACCAGAGTCAGCGCCCATGCCATCTCCGGAGAGCTTCCCTCTTAACCCAGCTGCCTGGCCTTTTGGTCCTCCGGCTCAGGGACTTTCCTCGGTTTCCCTGCAGAGCGGTGGGGGCGGGCGGGGAGGAAAGCTCTCGGCGGCAGGTGGCTTGGTGGGGTTGGCTGCCCCGTGTCTCTTCCGGCACCTCCGCTCCCCACTGGGATGCTCGGGGCACAGCAAGGCAGAGCCCAGAGGGAAACTGAGGCGCACGTAGGCCTCCTTACATGTGGTCCCTTCCCTGCGGAGAATCGTGTTGACTGCGGGGTGGGCGGGACTGGAGGGGCGGGGGGTCTCAGGGAGGGGGGCTCTGTGTGACGGGGAGGGCGCTGTCCCTACTCTGGGCTGGGGCCTGGAGGGGGGGGGGATCCCATGCCGGCACTTCCCCCTCCCCCCTGCTAGCTTCGATCAAGCGCACCCCGGTTGCCCTTTGCTCCGGGCTGCGGTTATCAGGAGCCTGATAACGGGGCCTTATCGGCCTGATGCCAGTGACGCAGCGACCCGGGAGGGGCCTGGGGAACTGCCCGACACTGGATGGGCCCGTGGGACTGATGGTGGGGGGGGCGTTATGGGCTGCTGGTTTTGACGTGTCCCCCCCGCCCCCCATTTCAGGTTCTCTGCCCCGGGCTCTCGGCCATCCGCGCCGGGGGGAAGGGCTGCTGTGGAGTCGGATGCTGCGGGAACCGGTGCCGGGTACGGACTCCCCCTTGAACCCTCCTTCCTGGGGCGGGTGGGGGGCAGGGGAGGGTCTGGGGGATAGTGTGGGGACTGTAAGGGATGAGGTGGGGGAGGCTGTGGGGAGGGGGCGGGGGGGTCGCTTCCTGCCCTCACCCCACCCCGTTTCCCCCCACAGATGCTGCGCTCTGTGTTCTGCTCGCTGTGGGGCGTCCTGGGGGGGTTTTACTGCCTGGTCGTGTCCGCCACTGGCCTGGCCAATGGGCCCCTCTGCGAGGACTCTGAGGGGACATGGGGGTCGCCCTTCCAGGACATCAGGTAAGGAGGGGGGGGCCTGCCCCATCCCATAATAACCCTGGGGAGCCCTGGGAGCTGGGAGCCCCCCAGCCTGACCCCCAGAACCCTAACCCCCTCCCAGCCCCCCACAATCCTAACCCTGACCTGCCCAGCCCCGCAAATCCCTAGCCCCCCAACTTCCATCCCCAGCCCCCTAACCTCAGTCTGACTCCTGCCCCTTCCACCGTTCTCAGAAATCCTGCCCCCCCTCCCTTGATCCAGGTCCCCGCACCCCATAGACCCAGGCCTGGCCCCCAAGCCTTCCCCCCCCCAGGCAGTGTGCACCCCTTCCCTCACTCCCCCCTCACCCCAGGGCCAACAGGAACACCCTGGGGAAACCGAGGCAGGGGTGGGGGTTCATAAAGACAGCACCCCAACTCCCACGCCTCCTCCCCCACCACTCCCGGCCCCCAATTCCGATTCCACTCCCTGCCCCCCTCCCTGATCTTGGCCCCCCAGAATCACGCCGCCCGCCCCCCCGGCTCTGCTCCCCGAGCTGCGATCACCCTGACCGTGTGTCCCCGTCCCCCCCCCCGACTCCCGCAGCGAGAACTACCTGGCGAACCGGACGCTGTGGGGGCTGTGTGTGAACCCCCCCCAAGGGGTGCTCTGGCACGTGGTCCTGTTCTCCATCACCCTGGGGCTGGGGGCCCTGGAGCTGGCCCTGTGCGCCGTGCAGGTGGTCAACGGGCTGCTGGGCACCCTGTGCGGGGACTGCCGCAAGCCGGCCGAGCGCCAGGTGAGAGACGCCCGGGGCTGGGGGAATACCTGGTTCGGGGCTCGTGGGGGGCTGGGGGAATACCCGGTTTGCGGGCACCTGGGGGAATACCCAGTTTGGGGGCACCCGGGGGGGCTGGGTAAAGACCCGGTTTGGGGCTCACGGGGAGCTGGGTAAGCACCCGGTTTGGGGGCACCCAAGGGCCTGGGGGAATACCCAGTTTGGGGTTTGTGGGGGGCTGGGGGAATACCCGGTTTGGGGGCACCCGGGGGGCTGGGTAAATACCTGGTTTGGGGCACCCGGGGGGGCTGGATAAATACCTGGTCACTAACTTATGGCATCTCTGGTTCCCCTCCCGCAGGGCGAAGGCCTCTGAGCTGCCGAGAGACCCCGAAAACCCGTTTCTGGGGGGCTCTTTCGGGGGGGCTCTTTCACTCCTTGTCACGCACTCCCCGTCTGTCTGTCCATCTCGGGGGGCACGGGGTGAAGGTCCCTGGGGCTCAGGGACTGTGGGATGCCTGGGCCCTTTATGGTGGGGGCTCCAGCTGGGCCCCCCCCAGACCTCGCTCTCCCGATTTGAAGCTCTCAGCCCCCCTCACCGCCCAGCCCTCCAGCTTGTTCCTGCCCCCCCCACCCAGCGGATTAAAGAGCCCCCCTGTTCCTTCCTGGCGCATGCGGGTTTCATTGGGAGCGCGATGTGGGGGGGACACCAAATTCGGGATGGGGCAGTTGGGCGGAGGGGGCTTCGGGTGGGGGTCCGGACTCCTCGGGGTCTGACCGTGCCCCCTAGGTCTTGAAGGAGGGGCTCGCGGGGAGGTGGGAGGGACGGATTTGGGGAGGGGGATGGTGGGAAGTGGGGCAGAGCCCTATGGAAGAGCGTGGGGGGGCCAGGGGAGGGGGTTAGCACTGGGGGGGATCGGGGCAGAGCTCGGGGGCTCAGTGAAGGGGGCTGCTCTCCCCCACAGGGCCCTTGATGTGGGTACAACCCTGTCCCCCATGCCCCTCCCGCAGATTCCCTCTTGCCCCCCAAGCCAGCCAGTCCCCGCCCTGGGGCCAGATGGGAGCCGGTGCCCCCTAGAGGGGACAGGCCCCGCTCCCCATTCCCCGCCCCATTGAGCCAGGCAGTCTGTTTGGGGAGGTGGGGGTGAGGGAATTGGATTGGGTGGGGGGTTGGGTCTCTAATTCCCACTCTCTGCCCCAGCTTAGCTGGGGGGAGCGACACCCCCTGCCCCATTGCCAGGGTCCGGCCAACGAGAGGCAGACGCCATTCCGCTCAGGTCCCCAGTAAGTCGTTTCCTGGGGGGGTCACACACACAGGGGCTGGCGGGGCAGCAGCTGGGAGCAGGGTTCGTGGGGGGGGGGGGAGTCTGAGTAGGAGGGATTGGGGGGGCAATGGGGAGCGGTCCGCGCCCACCAGACGACCTGGTGCCGAGGGTCTGGGGTGAGGAGCAGGGGGTCTGGGTTGGCGTGGAGGGGGCAGGGTTGTGGTGGGGGGGAGCTTCGTTGAGGTGGGGGGCTGGGTGGAGGTTGGGGGCAGGGTTAGGGGGCTGCAGCATTTGAAGTAGACGTCGTTCAGGGCCGTGTCGTCCCCCTTGCCCTGGGGGGGCCTCCACCTTGGTGTCGAGGGTGCAGATGCCCCGCTGGCCGCAGGAGCGGCTCTGGGGGCCCCACTTGCCCCAGCACCGCCCCTGCCCCCGCAGCTCCGCCCCACCCGTGCAGACAAACTCGATGTTGTCGGCGGCCGTGTCGTCCTTGAGGCCCTGGCACGGCTCCACCCGCAGCCGGAACTGGTTCAGACGCTGCCCCGAGGGGCATTTCATCACTGGGCCCCAGGAGCCCCACCTGGGAGGAGAGAAGGGCTGGGAGCCTGCTGCCCTAGTATCCCACTTCTGACACCACCAGCCCTCTGTCACCACCACGATCCCACCGCTGCCACCGCTAACCCTCCGTCACCACCACGATCCCTCCCCTGCCGCCGCTACCCTCCGTCACCACCACGATCCCTCCCCTCCCGCCGCTAACCCTCCGTCACCACCACGATCCCACCGCTGCCGCCGCTAACCCTCCGTCACCACCACGATCCCTCCCCTGCCGCCGCTAACCCTCCGTCACCACCACGATCCCTCCCCTCCCGCCGCTAACCCTCCGTCACCACCACGATCCCTCCCCTCCCGCCGCTAACCCTCCGTCACCACCACGATCCCTCCCCTGCCCCCGCTAACCCTCTGTCACCACCACGATCCCTCCCCTGCCCCCGCTAACCCTCCGTCACCACCACGATCCCTCCCCTGCCGCCGCTAACCCTCCGTCACCACCACGATCCCTCCTCTCCCGCCGCTAACCCTCCGTCACCACCACGATCCCTCCCCTCCCGCCGCTCACCCTCCGTCACCACCACGATCCCACCGCTGCCACCGCTAACCCTCCGTCACCACCACGATCCCACCGCTGCCGCCGCTAACCCTCCGTCACCACCACGATCCCTCCCCTGCCGCCGCTAACCCTCCGTCACCACCACGATCCCTCCCCTCCCGCCGCTAACCCTCCGTCACCACCACGATCCCTCCCCCTCCCGCCGCTAACCCTCCGTCACCACCACGATCCCTCCCCTGCCCGCCGCTAACCCTCTGTCACCACCACGATCCCTCCCCTGCCCCCGCTAACCCTCCGTCACCACCACGATCCCACCCCTCCCGCCGCTAACCCTCTGTCACCACCACGATCCCACCCCTCCCGCCGTTAACCCTCCGTCACCACCACGATCCCTCCCCTCCCGCCGCTCACCCTCCGTCACCACCACGATCCCACCGCTGCCACCGCTAACCCTCCGTCACCACCACGATCCCACCCCTGCCCCCGCTAACCCTCCGTCACCACCACGATCCCACCGCTGCCGCCGTTAACCCTCCGTCACCACCACGATCCCACCCCCTCCCGCCGTTAACCCTCCGTCACCACCACGATCCCTCCCCTGCCCCCGCTAACCCTCTGTCACCACCACGATCCCTCCCCTGCCCCCGCTAACCCTCCGTCACCACCACGATCCCTCCCCTCCCGCCGCTAACCCTCCGTCACCACCACGATCCCTCCCCTCCCGCCGCTAACCCTCCGTCACCACCACGATCCCTCCCCTGCCCCCGCTAACCCTCTGTCACCACCACGATCCCTCCCCTGCCCCCGCTAACCCTCCGTCACCACCACGATCCCACCCCTCCCGCCGCTAACCCTCTGTCACCACCACGATCCCACCCCTCCCGCCGTTAACCCTCCGTCACCACCACGATCCCTCCCCTCCCGCCGCTCACCCTCCGTCACCACCACGATCCCACCGCTGCCACCGCTAACCCTCCGTCACCACCACGATCCCACCCCTGCCCCCGCTAACCCTCCGTCACCACCACGATCCCACCCCTGCCCCCGCTAACCCTCCGTCACCACCACGATCCCACCCCTCCCGCCGTTAACCCTCCGTCACCACCACGATCCCTCCCCTGCCCCCGCTAACCCTCTGTCACCACCACGATCCCTCCCCTGCCCCCGCTAACCCTCCGTCACCACCACGATCCCTCCCCTGCCGCCGCTAACCCTCCGTCACCACCACGATCCCTCCCCTGCCCGCCGCTAACCCTCCGTCACCACCACGATCCCACCCCTGCCGCCGCTAACCCTCCGTCACCACCACGATCCCACCCCTGCCGCCGCTAACCCTCCGTCACCACCACGATCCCACCCCTCCCGCCGCTAACCCTCCGTCACCACCACGATCCCTCCCCTGCCCCCGCTAACCCTCCGTCACCACCACGATCCCGCCCCTCCCGCCGCTAACCCTCCGTCACCACCACGATCCCTCCCCTCCCGCCGCTAACCCTCCGTCACCACCACGATCCCTCCCCTCCCGCCGCTAACCCTCCGTCACCACCACGATCCCTCCCCTCCCGCCGCTAACCCTCCATCACCACCACGATCCCTCCCCTGCCCCCGCTAACCCTCCGTCACCACCACGATCCCACCCCTCCCGCCGCTAACCCTCCATCACCACCACGATCCCTCCCCTGCCGCCGCTAACCCTCCGTCACCACCACGATCCCTCCCCTGCCGCCGCTAACCCTCCGTCACCACCACGATCCCTCCCCTGCCACCGCTAACCCTCCGTCACCACCACGATCCCTCCCCTCCCGCCGTTAACCCTCCGTCACCACCACGATCCCACCCCCTGCCGCCGCTAACCCTCCGTCACCACCACGATCCCTCCCCTGCCCCCGCTAACCCTCCGTCACCACCACGATCCCTCCCCTGCCGCCGCTAACCCTCCGTCACCACCACGATCCCACCCCTGCCGCCGCTAACCCTCCGTCACCACCACGATCCCACCGCTGCCGCCGCTAACCCTCCGTCACCACCACGATCCCACCGCTGCCGCCGCTAACCCTCCGTCACCACCACGATCCCTCCCCTCCCGCCGCTAACCCTCCGTCACCACCACGATCCCACCCCTGCCGCCGCTAACCCTCCGTCACCACCACGATCCCTCCCCTGCCCCCGCTAACCCTCCGTCACCACCACGATCCCACCCCTGCCGCCGCTAACCCTCCGTCACCACCACGATCCCTCCCCTCCCGCCGCTAACCCTCCGTCACCACCACGATACCTCCCCTCCCGCCGTTAACCCTCCGTCACCACCACGATCCCTCCCCTCCCGCCGTTAACCCTCCGTCACCACCACGATCCCACCCCTGCCCCCGCTCACCCTCCGTCACCACCACGATCCCTCCCCTGCCCCCCGCTAACCCTCCGTCACCACCACGATCCCTCCCCTGCCGCCGCTAACCCTCCGTCACCACCACGATCCCGCCCCTCCCGCCGCTAACCCTCTGTCACCACCACGATCCCACCCCTCCCGCCGTTAACCCTCCGTCACCACCACGATCCCTCCCCTGCCCCCGCTAACCCTCCCTCACCACCGCGATCCCTCCCCCTGCCCCCGCTAACCCTCCGTCACCACCGCGATCCCTCCCCTGCCGCCGCTCACCCTCCGTCACCACCACGACCCCCCTCCCCCAACCCTCGTCACCACCCTCCCCTCCCGCCGCTAACCCTCCGTCACCACCACGATCCCTCCCCTGCCGCCGCTAACCCTCCGTCACCACCACGATCCCTCCCCTGCCACCGCTAACCCTCCGTCACCACCACGATCCCTCCCCTCCCGCCGTTAACCCTCCGTCACCACCACGATCCCTCCCCTCCCGCCGTTAACCCTCCGTCACCACCACGATCCCTCCCCTCCCGCCGCTCACCCTCCGTCACCACCACGATCCCACCCCTGCCGCCGCTACCCTCCGCCACCACCACGATCCCACCCCTGCCGCCGCTAACCCTCCGTCACCACCACGATCCCACCCCTCCCGCCGCTAACCCTCCGTCACCACCACGATCCCTCCCCTGCCGCCGCTAACCCTCTGTCACCACCATGATCCCTCCCCTGCCACCGCTAACCCACTGCTGACACCAATGTCCCACCATTGATGCCACCCTCCCATCTCTGCCACTGCTAACCCCCCACCCATCCCAGCTCTCTTGGTGACACCCTGTGATGAAGTGGGACTGTTCTTAATGTTTCCTCTGAATAGTGTGGGGGTGCCTCAGTTTCCCCTAGGCAGTTCTTAAG